AAAGCCAGTGTTTCTGGGCAATGTATACAGGAGTGTCCCTCTCGAGACTCAGCTCTCTGTAGTCTTGTCTATGCTTATGCAGGTATTGGGGTGGGAGCAGCACTGGATACTAACTGTAGTAGTTAGATCTATCACCTCGTTAATTAACAACATGATACTCTACCAGCATATGGAACAGTCTCTCTGATTGGGATTAAAAAGTATAACTGGACTTCACTGAGAATACTAGGCATGTCAGGGGATGCCTGATTTCATTGTGTGGGAAACAGTAATAATAATGTCAAATGTGAAATAATATGTGGCCATACAATTGTTTCCTTCTGTTAATCTCCATAGGGATGTTTGTAAAATCTGGATTCTCATCCTAAGTGGCTGGATTTCAAGGAGTAGCCCATGCAATCCTTGGACTCCGAGAGGCTGGCTAGATGTCAGTGTTGAACAACATTTGACCAGTTAGTGTTTATAATACGTATTGCAATGGTAGGACTGGGCTTTGCTATTGAATATCTGTGCTGATACCACGGGGCACTGAGTCACTGTCCTTCCCTGTGCTGCTACAGCAAATAAATTCACCAGCTTCCATCTTAATAATTTGCTTTAGAGCCAGTGCCACACGTCACATCCTATTCTGGACCCTCTCCAACAAGTTAATGTTTTTTACTGAAGAAGATGAGTAAAAATAATGAGTATGCTTAACTAAGGAGCCATAAAATTCTGATAGAGCAGTAATATTCCCAGTGAGCCTGAAGGAAATAAATCAATAGTTATGAGGCTCAATTTATGGCCTGAAATCATCAAGCATAGTAATTCTCCATTTTTGTACAGGATGCTTTTGTGGCTCCTGCTGAGCAGAGGATTATAAAGTCAGCATAAGCTCTTTCTCAACAATTCCCCAGGCTTTGCCATTTAAGATAGCTGACTCTACAGAGGTTGTTATCAGGGTCCTATGATTGATTTGAAGGCAATTTTTCATTATATAGGACAGGCTGTACCAACTGTATGTGTTCTGAGAGTCTCAGGCTTGGAATGGTTTCACAAAGAGTAAAAAATAAAGTTATTTTGTATCTCTTTAAAATTTGACACTGCAGTTATTCATTTGCCTGCAAATCACTCCACAGTCAGGTATGGTTCAGTAGCACGTTCTCCAAAAATCCTTTAACTGCTTTTTGTAGACCCCTTGCAATAGAATTTTCTAGATGGAGGCTGGACTAATTCTATATTTCTAAGCTGCCTCTGTGGAAGAAGTTCTCCCATCTGCTTCCAGCACAGGTGTGATCTCTTTAAGTTTTGAAATTGTTTTTTAAGAACAAAGGCAGACAATGAAATTTAATCCAAGGGTTTTATTAAAACCTCCATGTAAAAAGTCAGACCTTTCCAAAGCCTGAAGTAAGTGCAAACATTACGCAGCCATGTTCCCACCAGTGGCATAAGCATGAAAGACAGAAGCTTTTCAGATTAAATGGAAAAGCCTTGGTTTAGGCCATCTCCTGCATCTACTTATCATTCCTGCACATACAGGTTGGTAGGAGAATGTTTTAAGTCTCTGAAGTGACAGGAGTATTTTGTAAATATACAGTAAGGTCCTAAGTGGAGAGGGCTCTAAATTAACACTTGACCAAAAATATATTGTGATACTCATTCAAATATAATTTCTTAAGGGTGCTTTTAAATCCCCAACTCTTACACCATGCGCAGATCCACAGACTAAGCACCTGGACCTGCAGATGATCTTCACTGTACAGATTCATTCCTGCTTTGGCTAGTTGCCAGTGGGTTTTGTGTGAAATACTCCCTCGTGTAGCCTCTACATTTAAAGGATGCCTATAAATATCTGCACTGGCTGGGACAAAAGGAGAAAGAGTTGGACATTCTTAGAGAAATGTAAGATGTGCAGAGAGCTGAAATGCCCACCACGGGCACAACTCTGGCTTCCCAGAGCCCCCCCCCCGCAATGACCCGTCAGGCCAGTAGCCAGGGCTGCTGGTGCTTTCCCAGCCCTCTTCCTGCAGCAGGATTTTCCCCTCCTCCCAGCAGCTGCAGAAGCAGGACACAGGAGGGGCTCAGGAAAGCCGGGCTGTTACCTGAGCCAACAGCGACACGCAGAGCTCCAGCAGCACAGTCAATCCTTATATCTGCAGCGCCGTATCCATGCCGCCTGGAAAATATCCCAAGGTTTAGCCCTTTTTGCCTTCCTGAATGACTACACTTATTGAGAAGGAAGAGATATTTTGCTGTAGTAATTTTATCCATGGCAATCATGTATACTGTGCTGGAAGTAAATTAAATCAGCCAGAGGCACATCTACATTCCAATGCCTGCATTCGCACAAAGTGGATTACACTCTTTCATCTGTATCAAAACAGTTAAGATGATGTTATTTGTTTGCCACTAAGTTTGAGGCAGACAACTTATAAAACATCCTATCCCTGCTTCCTTACTACTGCAAGAAGTCTCACTGAGACCACACTGAAATTATTTTGGTAAGCTTTTGTTAAATAAATGCACAGAGGAAAACTGTACATGCAAGGAGTATGTCAAGATCTAAATATTAGGTGCAAGTTCTGTAACAGTGAACACAGTCCGACTTTTATTAAAATTACTCTAAACCACCTCTTGAAGACACATACCTGAGTGTGGCGTTGTGTGCTTTAAAGTTATTATTTGAAGTTGTTGTTAATTATTCTTTGAGAGTTAAATAATGGTTTGTTCCCTTTCCCCCCCCCAGGTAATCCCCTGTAATGGTTCGTCCCGAAGTTGTTTTTCCCAATTCTTCCCGCCACTGGCCTGTCCGTTAAAGTGAGATGTCCCCTGCTCCTCCCCCCAAATCCTTATTTAGTAATGTCAGTCTTTGTGGTGCTGCCTCCTACCCTTGTCAGTTATGTAGACCCCCCCTACTTTTTTCGAGAGAGTTCTATGTCTCTCATCCCTAGCTTGTATTATGATTTGCTCCCGAGGCTTCCTCCCTCCCCCTTGTGCTTCTTATTGGTTATTTTGTATTGCATCAGCTTGCCTGTACCCTCTACTATTGGTTCCCTTGTATTTCCACAACCCCCGCCTCCTCGCTTTATAAGGGCTAGCCGAGACCCTCCTCTTTTGACACTTGTCCCTGGACCCTCCTTGGTTGTCATTTGTCCCTGGATTTTCTCTGGATTAAAGGCACCTTGGAACCCAAACAAGTGTACCTTCTTTCCTTCCTTCGTTTCGGAACCTCGTGTCTCTCATCGCACCAGCCTGCGCACCCACGCCGCGGCTGTCACCGCTACCTGGCAGTCCCGACGGGAACCTGGGAGCGGCCAGTCTTGTGGCGCCCCTCTGCGGTCTCGCAAGGAGCAGCTAGCCGGCGCCCCTTCGTTCAGATCGACCGCAGCGCGTGAGAGCCACACCTGAGCAGACAGTGGTAAAATAATTAGAGAAGAGAGAGCCAGGCATTAATGTCTCCAGAAAAACATTTCAATAGAAGCAAGAAAACACCTTAGAACTGATCAGCACACAGGGTGTGCTGACGACAACCCAAATTACACAGGACAATTACAGAGTACGGATGGATTTCCCACTCCCAGAATTTAAAAGCCCTGTCACCAGGGTACAGCCTGCACAGCTGCTGAGGTTGTTTCTTGTTTCCTTTCCAAGCTCAGGCTTGCCTCTGATCCAAAGGGAATACCAGTTCCTCTCTGCAGGGCAGGAGGCAGGTCAAGTGAAAAATCACCAAAGCTGAGCAAGTAGCAAATGTTGTAGGCCAACGACTGTAGTTTGACCACCAAGCAGAGAAGTTTGTGGAGAGGAAGGGCATTAATGGAGTCCAAAGTTTGTATGTTCCAGCTGAGCTGAGGTTAATTGAGAAGAAAATAAACAAATTAAATCTGTGTTACACCAATATAAAGCATAAAGGTATGAAACAATGTGAAACAGAGCAAGAAAAGTTAACAGTGCAGCAAGCATAAAATTAAGTGGTCCAGTGTCCTGGTTTAGGGCAGGTTTGGGAGATAACTCCCAAAGGGGCTTCTCTACAAAAGCAGATTCAATTGCCCCTCCCCCCTCCAACCAGTTTGGGAGAAAATATCTCCTTGGAGAAAAAGTGGAAAGAAACCTGTTTATTAAACAATAGAAACCAAACAATATTAAACAATAAAACTTCTCACTGCTCCAAAGAACACAAACTCAGAACAGTCCCCTCCCCGGGTTGCAGCTCGGCTCACTCAGTCTCTGATCAGTCCCTGCGGTGCTGGAAATGCTGCGGCCCAGGCCCGGCCGGGGGGGCCACAGGTGGAGGTGACGGTGCTCTTCTGGGTTTTCAGTCCAGAGCAGGCTTGAACAGGTCCAAGAAAAAAGGAAAAAATCACAGTCCAGGGAACTTCTTTGCCTCAGCTAGCTAAAACTAACTAAAAGCAGAAAAAAAGGGAAAAAGGAGCTCTGTCCAGCTGTCTGTCCATCCACAGACAACACAGTCCAGGAGCAGGAACATGGAGGAGTGAGAGCAGTCTGAAAACAAACGGCGCGCTTCTTCCCTCTCCTCTTCACTCTTTGGAAGAGAGTCTTAAAGGTGTAAAACTTATTATTCAATATAAACAGAACAAGACGATTGGGGATAAAAGCATCATATAGTCATACCCAGGACATCCAGGAACCACAATGATCAGGCTTGGCAGTGCCTGAGAGCACTTTTGGTCAGTCCTGGACAGTACCACAGGCTCTCTTTGAGAAAACAACCATAAGCATCCTTCCTAGCTGAAACAGACCATTAAGTAGCACTCCAAAAATCAGGGCTAAAGTGCCTGAAGATGCATCCAAAATGTCAAGCATCTGTGATTCATTCCATTCTTCTGAAAATGCATGTTGTAGTCCATTTGCACTTTCATAAATCTGATGGTTGCTTTGTCTCTGTGTTCTGAAAGATTTCTATTGAAATTGTTACAATTCTGCATGTCTTTTCAAGGAAAGATGAAGCCATCTTCTGTTTATTCCTGCCATGGCACAGTTGGAAATGGGATATTTGCCAGGAACTCACACAGTCAATGTGAGAGAGTTGCTATAGGCTGCAGCTTTATACCACTAGTTTTCCTTTGCACTTTTTTTCCTTTCAGAATTTGGCAAGAAAGTTTATCTAAAAACCAGCCTACATCTTGATAATCTTCAGGCCACCATAAATATTGACTCCTTTGTAGGAAGTTTCGAATCGGTTTGTTTCTTCAGTTGATACTGAGAAAGTGACCCAACCACTACCATAATGAGGACATCCTTCAGATCACAGAAGTACCTGTTCTGGGTGAAATGAAAGGCTTCCACACACCACCCATCTTTGAGAAACTGCCTGGTCACAATGCAAATTGTTTTTCTGCTGTTCCAAATGGCATCACGAATATTGTTGATAAGTTCTTCGCCAGGCAAGAAATCTCTTTCCTCAAAACACAAGGTAAATCTGTTTTTATCAAAATACTGTGAATCCAGGGGCTTTAGCAAAGATTTCTGGACCCATTCAAAGTCATTTTTGCTGTAGCAGAGATATGCATCATATTTGTATTCACTTTTATCTGCTGTTCGTTGTTGATTGTCTATCAAGTCATTTTGTGGTGGTTTTATACCACATGAAACAAATCCCCCAGCAGCGAGTAAAAATTATGACTGCCACCAGAAACACAACAATGACCAAGAAGAAGATGAAGAGTGAGAATCTGAGTGTCTGCTGGAGTTCATCTTCATCATAACCATTGTATGTCATATATGACAGGGGTATCCCTTCAAAGGCAGGGTACACACAGTATCTCTCAGACTGGGAGCCAGCCATGGTTACATTGGTTTCATTCAGCCACACTAGCAGGCTCTTTAAAATGCAATCACAGACATAATTATTATGTGTTATATCCAGAATATTCAAAGTCATAAAGACTTCAGGGTCAGGGGAAAACAGCTGGTTTCCAGATAAGTTTAGGTTTGTTAGGTTTCGTGGGAAAAACCCAGGAGAAAGATGAGACAACAGGTTGGAAGCCAGGTTAAGTCTTCTAAGAGATGTTAGACCTCTAAAAATCTCCTGTGGAAGAGCACTGAGGTAGTTGTTATTCAGATGTAGAACTTGAAGTTTGGGCAGTGCCCCAAACACATCCAAACATAAATCTCCCTCCCACACCAGCTGTAACATATTTTCACCTAGATCCATATATAGTAACTGATTGTTTTCTATAACATAAGCACTCTTCACACAGTAAGAGAACCAGTTCTGTTTTAAAAAGATATACTGCAGATATGGAATTTGGAAAAGAACATACAGGTCACCTAGGTTTGCCAACCAATTTCTTTCTAATTTGAGGTGTGTTGCAGTTATTGCTCTGTCACCTGCAGACATTAGCTTATTGTCACCTAAAAAGGCAAAGCTCAGATGTGGAACAGAAGGGAGACTTTTAATGGCATTGTCTCGGAGATCAATTATTTTCAGATTTACTAAATACCTGAATGATTTGTCACCAATCATCCCAATATGATTTTGCTGTAAATCAATATACATTACATAGACCCTCAAAAGTGTAATTGTACAACTTACCCAAAAGGTTTCTTGAGAGATTGAGAATTTTTAGGTTGCCCAAGCCAAAAAATGCTTATCACTGAACCTTTTCAAAAACAAGATAATGTTTTCAAAAAGGTTCAGTGATTCCAGATTGCCAAGACTTTGAAAGACTAAAGAATTGAGAGAGAAAATGTAACCCTGTGAAATATGAAAGAACCTTAGATTACTTCTTCCTAGTCCTGCAAAAGTAGAATCATCTGGATTTTTTAAGTTATCAAAGCCAAATCCTGAACCAATTTTAGGACTGCTAAATATTAAAGAACTTATTTGAGTCTCTTCAATGGCTGCACAGAGATATTGGACTCTCTCTGTTCTCCAGCCATTGTCACTAAGGTCTAGTGAGCTAAATGTAATATTTTTGAAAGGATTGGGGAACTTGGCCCAGGCCACATCTTCTGTCTTGTACAAATGATTAGAACCAAGGTTAAAAAATAAAAAGTGTTTTCCTTGGAAGCTGGTAAGATTGGTTTGACAAAAGTTGGGTATCTTGTTGAATTTCAGGTTCACACTTTTCAAGGCTGTTAGATTATAAAATAAGGGGCGGGGATGAAGTTTTGTGATTTAATTCATTGAAAGATCCAATTCTTCCAATGACCTTAAATCTTGAAAGTAACATTCTTCCAGGATGGAATCTCCAAGGGAATTGTGAAACAGACAGAGGACAGTCAGGCTTGGCACGCCCCCAAAAGCATCAAGATGCAGTTGAAGAATCTTATTGTCTCCCAAGTCTAAGATACAAAGGTTTGGAAGGTTCCTGAATGCTCCTTTTCCTACGGTAGCAGGATGGACTAACTGGGTTCCGATTTCCAACACCACAAGTGCCCCAGCAGTGGAAACAAAGTCACTTTTCTGAGATAGTTAAGTCAGGAAAAGTTTCACTGTATCTTTTGGCACAGGTGGAACATCTCTGAGGCTGCAGAAAAAAGATATGGAGACTTGGGCTTCTGAGTAGCACCTTCTACATGCACACGCACCACTAGCTAGTGACAGCCCAAAGACAAGGAGGAGCTGATGGCACAACATCATGAACCTATGTGAAAAAAAGTGACAACAGTGAGAATTAGGTCTGCAGTTGGCTCTGAAACTCTTTGCAGTGAGTTTCAGAGCACATTTTTAACAGCTGTAGAATGGAGGACTGATGTCACCCTAAAGATGACTTGAGATTTGGGATTTATCCTTTCTCTGAAGTCTAACAAGCATCACCTGATAGGCTGTTTGGTCAGAACATGCATCCCAAAAAGATGTGAGGGCCTCCTATAACCTAAAAAGTAACTCTCCTTTATGTTCCTGTCCTAGGGTGACGTTATGATGCTTGTATCCCCAGTTGGGTGTTCTGTTTATGCTGGATGTTATATTTTATGCCTTCAGGACTGGCTCTGACAGTGAAGGCAGGGAGAAGAACACAGAATTTCGTTATCAGCTGCATCATCGCCCACACTCTGCTGGAACACAGAACCCCGCTGTTGTTGTCTGGGCACGGACAGGGCAGAGCACAGGGCTCCTTTAGTTTTTCAGTTAGTTTAGCTAGCTGAGGCAGTCTGAGTTTTCCCTGGACTGTTTTTCTTTCCCTTTTCTTGGAACTGTTCGAACCTGCCCCGAACTGGGACCTGGGGAGCACTGAGAGCTTGCACCTTGTGGCCTACCGGGACCTACTCTGGGCAGCAGACTCTCCCAGCACCAGAGGGATTGATAACAGAGTGACCACCCACAGGAGAGACTTTCTGAATTTGTCATCTCTTCAGAGCGGCAAATGAGTTCTGTCATCCAGTATTGTTCATTTCTTGTGCTGGGGAGTGCTTGGCCTGTTAAATAAACAGGTTTTCTTCCACTTCTCTCCAAGGAAATTCTTCCTGAACCGGTTGGGGGGAGGGGCTGTGTGGGCTTGCTTTCTGGGCGAGCCCTTTTGGAGGTTTTCTCCCAAATTTGCCCTAAACCAGGACAGTTCCTAAAAACCCCACCGGTAAGAGTAAAAAATCTTGGCCTAGCTATTTCATCTGCACCATGGAACTGATAATGTTGGTGTATTAGCTTAACTCCTTAATTAGTTTTTCCAAAAAGGCCAAAACATTTGCATTGTCCAAGTAAAGTGCAGCCACCCAATCATCTCAACAGAGCAGGCAAATGCTGTTCTTTCCCTGAGTGCTCTCCTTGTCACCTGTGTGGAATTTACATTGTTATCACACAGAGGTGCCTAAAAGCCATGAGTTCTTAAGAAGGGAAACCTCTTTTGGGGCTCCTCCTCAGATTAACCTGACAATGTGAAATTGTTCTGGAAATGGCTGTAAAATGGTTTAGAAAGTATAGGCAGGAGCAAGATTAACAGTGATGGAAAAAAACAAAACAAAAGCAGTAGCCTGAAACTGTGCTGCAAGATTTCATGTTTTATGAAAAAATACATTTTCCAAACTGTAAATTCCTAAATTATACAAAAAGGTGAATAGCACAATTTATGCAGCTTACTGATGAATCCATTTATTCCCACTCTTGCATTATCCCCTATGTCTGCCTGTCACCCTTTTTATCTGAGACAAAAAACCTCTTCAGAGCAAGGAAGGTCTTTTCTATTGAGCATGGTAAAGGACAGAGCAAATTATTAGCATTAAAATGGTTGTTTGTGTAGTTAGTTTTAAAAAAAACCCTAACCTTCTAAGATTGCAACCATCTGCTTCTGTTTTTAGCCAAGCATTTACTGAAAAGAAATGATGACTCAATGGGTGATTTTTTGTGTCCTCCAGCACAACTTGCTTAAAGATTGGTAAGTGTGAATTCTTGTAGAACCAAACCCCCATCTAATGTCTGCAAAGTAGATCTACTTCAGAGCAAAAAACAGTGGGGCTTTGAATTTCTATTCTGATTTGAGCCTCCCTCTTTAAAGGACAAGAACAAAACTCCATCCAGAATACTGCACTATTAAATTAAATTAAATTAAATTAAATTGAATTAAATTAAATTAAAATTATGCTTATTGCTGCCATACAATGGGATTCCTGGGAAACCAGAAAGTATGTAGATGTGGCTTCAGTAAGTAATCACTATGACCTTCCCGCTGCAAAAACCAAAGGAAAGATCCAGCCAATTTTTAGAGACTATCTACTCCATAGAAAGTACAAGAATACTACAACACAATCCAGTCCCATAACTGACATGATCCTACTGTATTGAACTTTTTTGGTGATGTTCTCCAAGTCACCTGATTATATTAAAACTTTCACTTGTAGCAGCTTTGACTGCTGGAATCAGGCTGTCAATTTTCACCCTGGAGACTCAAACACTAAGTGGGAAACTCACACAGCTCACAATAGTGATCTTGTCATTTTTAAGACAATCTCGTGTGCTTGAGACAAGCTCTGATCCTTGAAAGTAAAAGAGATTAGGGATGTACGATAAGAGTTGATGTCTGAAGTCCTGGCATTCAAACTTCATTCATGTTTTGTCTCACTAAGGAATTTGGGATGTGCCACAAAGAAAATCAAATTGCAGGCAGTGAGCATCAAAATTCTCTTTTATTGAGCATAGTAAAGAACAGAGCAGTTTATTAGCCCTAAAGGGGTTGTCTGTGTACTGCACTTTAAAATAACCATGAAGAAATTTAAAATTTTTCTATGGGGAATAATTCCAAGTACTAAAAAATAACTGTACCTCTTTTTTGACCTAGTGTGCACTTTTAAAGGGGACTTCATAAGCAGTAAACTACATAATGTTTGTTGTGACTACAAAATATTGTAAGTTATTAAAAAAGACACAGCTAAACGTACAGCTGGTCATTCAAGATCTCGTTTACTTTTTTACTTCTCTCCTTGCTTGAGCTATGAAAACAAAACACCAAGTTACCCTTTTAATATTTGATAATTATTATAGTTCTGCTTCTTGACATCTTGATATAAGATGTTTAGCACAAATAGTTTTAAATTACATTTATCTTCAGACCTTTACATTCTCATCCCAGATTAGATGGATGCTTTTAAAGTTTGGGCAAAATCACAGCATCATCAAAAGCAGTGATAAAGAGAAAATACTTTAAAAGTCAATATTTAATGGATATGTGTACAATAGACAGAAAAAGCTAAGAATGTTTAGAGTGCAAGAATTAGAAAATTTTGGCTTTAAATTTTAAAATGTAGTTTTATTTTTATTATGATAATACAAGAAATTGGGGAAATATTTTTAGAGATAATTTCTTTTATATTGACCTGCTTTTCCATATTTTTGTGAGCTAAAAAAACATCTAACAATCTTTTAGCAGTTGTTACACTCCAACTTTGCTCTGGTTTAGTGTCAAGGAGGATTCCACTTGTAAACTCTTTGCTCCCTTTCTGCCAAAGTTATTACCTTTTTCCCCAAATCCATGAAGAGCAGAGGGATGCTGGCACTAAGAAATGCCTCTTACTGCTCTCAAGAAGACAGCAAAGATTTGTAATTGATCAGAATCCCATCGTGCAGCAGTTTATGCAACCGTTCACCACTGTACAATAGCATGTAAAACCTTTTGAGAAGAATATTCTTCCCACAAAATGAGGGTCACCCTATTCTATTACCTGTCTGTGCAGGGACATGGAGATGAAGGGATGTGTAAATGCTCAATTCACATAATCATAGAGTCACAGAATCTTTAAGGTTGGAAAAGGCCACCAAAGTCACTGAGTCCAACCTTTGGCCAAACACCACCATGTCAACTAAACCGTAGCAGTAATTGCCAGGTTCAGTTGTTTCTTGAACATTTACAGGGATGGTGACTCCACCACCTTTCTGGGCTGCCTCTTCCAATGTTTAAACACCGTCTTGGTTTGGAAAGACAGGTGTCTGCTATGGATGGCAGGAGCCTCCCCTGAAATGGAAAATGTAAATCCCCCTGCTCCGAATTGCTACAAATTTTAAATTAAGGCGCTCTTAGGCAAAAAATATGGGAGCAGGAAATAACAGTTCTGTAATAGGGAAGAAAACAAAAAGATAAAATAAACAATGCAGTAAACCAAAACAACACTGACAGAGCCAGAACACAACCTAACACCCTGTTGGTCAGGGTGCTGGTAGCAGTCCATTTGGAATTGTGGCTGCAGTCCTCCTGGAGTGTCAGGTGTGGTTCTGTTGGAGCAGGGATCCTGTAGAAGGGTGTACTCTTCCTCTGAAGATCCAGTGGAAGAGCCAGCTGTTCCTCTGGGAATCCAGTGGAGAAGCACTGCTGGTGTTCCAGAATCTCAAGATTATAACTGGGTAGGAATGCTTGGCTCTTCCCTCTGTGCTGGAGCATCTCACAATGGGATGTTATAGTTCTTATCAGTCATGCAGTGACATTCCATAGCCTATTATAAGCAGATGTCTCCCCAGAGGAAGGAGTGGTTGTAGAAGAGATAAGGAAAACTGCCCACTTAACAGAAGACAACTGCCATACAGATGGCAAATAGAATACAATTTGCTTGACAATCCAGGACAAACACCCTTTCAGTGAAAAAATTCTTCCTGAATATCCAACCTGAACCTCCCTGGTGGAGCTTGAGTCTATATCCTCTTGTCCTGACAAATATTTAAAATTTTCATTATTGAAAACTGAAGCACTGAAGTTCAAAGAACCAGAGCCCAGCATGTGAGATTTTGTTTCCTTCTATGTTGAAAACTGATGTTGGAAAGAATAAAGGGAAGGGGAAGAGTGGGAAGGCTTTGAGTCATCTGGAACTGATCTTCCCTATTGTACTCACTGTTTTAAAACCTGATTTTGCTAACCTGGTTTCAAACCACAGCACAGGATGATGGGAATTGGCAGTACCTGAGAGTGGATGCTGTAGCAGAGCCTGTCTATCTCAGCACTGCTGAGACACGCAGAGGGACTGTCAGTAAGCAGGGCCTGGAGTAAAGCTGAAAAGGAGGGCTCAGACTGTCTCTTTTTGTTATTCATGGCAGAGTGGCAACTCTCTTATCGAAATTTAGAAAGCACTTATTACTCCTCTTTCCACACCCCCAACAGAAACATGCTGGAAAAGCTGCTGTGCAATTGCTGTCTAAACCCCATGAAAATTCACCTGAATAGACAAAGACGTTTCAATCTCCTTCAGATCTTGAGCGTCTTCCAGCCATCCAAAGGAGTCTCCCTTGTGCACTCTTCTCTTTATATTCCCAGGTCACAATTCTGTAGGGAAATGAGAATCATTCCTACTTCTTGGAGAAAGTGCAGAATAAAATACCATTGTCTGATGCCCTAGCATCATTCATATTTTCCTCACTCGTGGTAAAAATTATGATTATCTTTCCCAGAGGCTGGTGATATTCACTGACTGTGAAGGACTATTTGTATTTGGTGCTTGGTAAAATTTCTCAGAAAAAAACCCACTAAGACCTTCAAAGATTATAATTTTTCTTTTCATCTAACAGAAAGCCCACTGACAAGGAGTTTGTAATATTTATTTAGGTCATAAAAAAGATCTTGAAAAATATATTGCAAAACAGGAAGCCTTTGTTCTTAGACTGGTCAGATAAAGGCCAACTGCTATTGTGAAAATTTGTATTGCTGATGCTATCTGAATGGACAAAAATCTACTTACTGAAACAAAAATAAAGCTCCAAGCTTTTGACTGGGCCTTAGGCCATCACAATATATGCATTTGTGCTCATAAAAAGTTGTGCAGTGTAAATACACTTTTTGTCATGGGACCCCTCTAGCCAATTAAGATCTAAACAGAAACTATTTCAATTATTTAATTTATCAGATGATTGATGAATGTGCCCCATCCTACCTCCTCAGTTTCTCCCTTAAGTTGCCAGGATGCTTAAATCAAATAGAAGATTTCCTCTTAAAATCAGGAAGCATCTTACAAGGTAATTGAGCACTGTGACAGCTCCTATCATTGATGGAAAAAACATAAGGCATTTAATGACCTGACAGAGTAGAAGGACCATCAAAGCCAGTACTGTCTGGGTGTAATGATTTACTTTCTGTTTGTATTTATTTGTTTGTTTTGATATCCCAACAGATTATACTATGAGATGCAAACACACAAAGACAGATATGATTCCACTAATTACAGTGTAACAGTTCTTTACAGGAGAGCAGTCCCCAGAAGGACAGGAAAATAAACTTGAAAACAGAGACTAGAACATGCTTGGGCTATTCTGTGGAGGACAGGAGTAAATTGAATATGCAGAGAGTCTTAGACCCAGACCTCAGCTTTTGGCCCTAGCTCAGCTGTTTTTAGCCTCTAGCACAGTTTTGAGTGTGTCCCTGGTGAGCAGGGTCAGCCTGCTTGTTTCCCTGCCCAGCAGCCAGCTGGGTTGTTTGTCCCAGTATGGCCCAAGCACGGGGCACTGGTCCATGAGCCAGCCCTGGGCAGCCCAGCTCTGCCCTGTGTGTCACAGGACAGCATGAAGGCAGAAAGAGCCTCAGCTGGGCCTCAAAGAGGACCAACAACTAGTCTTCCAGCTCCTAAGGAAACAGGGCTTTAGTGAGGACAGTGATGATTCATTTGGAGGTTTGGGGGGTTTTCGTTTGGTGGTGCTTTTTTTGTTTTACCAAAGTTTTTGCTACTGTTGTTTGCCAGCAGTGACACACATTCTAGGCAATCACAGTCACCACTCAGGGATTCTTACCTTACATCTTGAGCCCATGTTTTCTTTGAAAGCTCTCATCTGAGAACTGCCTGGTCTACACCAGAAGCCACCCTGGGGGATAAAATCTCTCCTTCCTATTAGTCTCCCCTCCCTCTTTGCTATAACTTTGGACTGTGTCTTTCAGAAATTGGATTTAGCCCAGGAACTCAATGTTCTTTTTTTGTGCTTGCAGGGTAATTAGAAGCAGCCAGGATTTAAGCTCTCACCTGGAAAAGATCAAAGTGATAATAGGAAAGGAGTCCTAGGAATGACAGTCAAGTTTTTAAGTTGCAGGAAGCCAGCTTTCACAGATGAGACAGAAATCCTTCAGGAAGCAGTGAATCCTTGACAAACTGGAGAAGCAGCAGTTACAGTCTGAAGATTGTAACTCCTGGGGTCACAAGCAGAGCTCTGTACAATCCTTTTTAAAGGTCTCACCTTTTTATAAAGTTCATCAGTGCTGTCATGCCTGTGAAACAGCTGTCAGGCATAAAACAGTGGTAATGGTTTGGTAGCCTGAAGTCAGCAAAGATGAGTAACAGTGATCAGCCAGAGGGGGAATGGCATGGTTACCACTCCTGCACTTCTGGGACCAAATCTGCACACATTATTTATTAGAGAACTATTTAAAAAGTATGGAAATGATTCCTGAATATGTGGAGCCAAATGGAACAAATTATAAAAAAAGATGCTTGCTTTTGCAAGTATTTTTTTTGCACATGCACTTTAAAAAAGCAATCAAAAGATAACAAGCTGCAAATGTCCAGTGACAAAAGGAACATAAATATAATACAATGAGAGATAAAATCTGCCCAGCTTTAGGATCCAGACTTTCCTGGAATCAAGATGCTTGAATTTATTTGAAATAGGATTTAGATATGAATGAATTTGAATTTACTCTTGCTGGTGGAGGAGAAAAATGTGAAAATTTCACTCACTAGTATGGCTGAAAAATCTCTGGACTGTCGAACCTGTGATGCAATGAAGACCTATCAAGTAAAGAAGGTAGAAAAGGAGCTGGTGGCCTTCCTGAAACCATTCTTGTGGGAGGCTCTTGGTGAGGGAGCTGTTCCATCGACTCCCAGCATGGCAGGAGCATCCTAGGGTTCACCCGCATATATGTCCCAGATCAATTGCTTATCCACTGATTATCCTTACAAAAGATAGTCCCAACCCAGCCATGATGAACAGCTGTCACACAGGCTGAGCTGATGAAAGGCATGTAGAGCGGAAGCAGGTGACTGAATGACACACTCTGTGCAGTGCACCTAGAAAAACACACACCTGATTTCTGAATCCATAAAGACCTGCAGTCAGATACCAAGGGACTGTCAAAAGAGAAATCCCCATGCAGGTTATATTTTAAATTCTCTCCCTACCCAGCTCTTTCCAGAGAGAAAGTCAGCTATGCCTTTATTTAGCATATTATTCTGTCAAGTAAAACAGCTACAGTCAGCTCTATTTTCTTCACTATGCTACACCAAACCCTTTTCTCACACACATACCCACTAACTGTGGAAGCATTGGTTATTTTTGGACAGGAGGCGCTCTCCTCTTCCGTTATAGCTCTTCCAGATGAGTGAATAACATTCAATATTCTCTAAATAATGTTTCAGCCTAATGAGGGCTTGGGGATGCTTTGTATGGGACCAAGGGAGGGAAGGGAGAAGATCTGCTCTGGGCTGCTTCCATGTTCTCATTATGCATGTGTCCAACCCAGAAACCATCCTTAGAGAACACTGTGGAGGTCCTTCTAGCCCTGTCCTCTAGTTCCCATCTTTCACCACCTTACTCAGCTTCAGGAAGTTCTTGCATGACACAGCTTCACAAGGAAGCTGGAGATGACCAAAATTAGCCTGTTGCCAATTAAGAGGAAAACGCATCTCATTCACCCACCGGCAGATATCTGATGGACTGAACTTTCCCATGATCTGGGTGAATGCTCCCAGTCATGGAATTAAAGAAATACAGCAACAGCTTACTGCTCCATTTTACAACACTGCTGTGCTTCATGCTAGGTCGGAGCTAGAAGCCTGCCTACCTGACAACACCTATGCCATGTGTTAGCCAGGTTAGATGCTGGCCAGTCAGTCCTGCCAGATTAGGGCACTGCTGCGTGTCTGCAAAAGCAAAATACTTTGTGCTCAAGTTCTCAAGTACTTAAGTCCACGGTGGAACTGCTGAAATCCCTCAAACTGGACTCCTCAAAGACCTGGTGCAGATGCAGCCTTGTCTTATCAAGCCTCACCTCCGACACCTTTGTGAAAAGAGGGTAGTAATCCTTGTCCGCCTCGGGCGAGAAAGTGAATGAGTGCTAAGTTACATAGTGCTCTGAAAAATGCGAAGTGAAACCCTTCTGCCAAAACATTTTCCTAGGGCTGGAAAACCTTATTTCTTGGCGGCTTAAAGGGACAGCGGAAGGAGGGGCGGTCGACGGTGAGAAGGGAAAGTGAAGATTGACCCTTGGTGTGCCGTGGGCTGTGACGGACCCGTGTAGGGCTGTCGCTCTCTCCCGCAGCCCGGTCCCGTGTCCCGACGCCACGGCCAGCGCTCCAGGGCAGAGCGGCCTCGCACAGAAACTCGGCCGGGAAGAGCCTCCGTGTTCCCCGCCTTGTTCCCCGTTCCCCGCGTTTTTCCCACATACACACCGGGCAGCTGGAGAAGGAGAGCGTCCTCCACCTGCCGGGAATGGCTGGGGCGCGGGTCCGGCGGGGGAAGCTGGGGACAGCGGGAAGAAGCGGTGTCTGAGTTGCTTACTCACGCAAGGAGAGAGTAACCAAAGGGCGTAGCCAGGGAGCGGGTGCGCCGCAGGGAGGCACTGTAGTTCTAGTTCCGTAAGGACTAGAAGGAAGCGGTGATTATGTGGCTATGGAAGGGGGGGTGGGGGGAGGGGGTAGAAGGTAGAATCATCAGGGAAGAAGTACTGGAAAATAAAATCCCCAGCAGAATGGAAACCCTCCCTGGGTTTCCAAGATCGGCTGCTGGATACCGAACTCTAGGGCCCCAATAAAAGAAGGAAGTGAAGTGTTGGAGCAGCTCCAGAGGAGGGACATAAAAATTCTTAGGGGGCTGGAGCATCTCTCCTATAAAGAAAGGCTGAGACAGCTGGAGAAGAGGAGGCTCCAGGGAGACCTCAGAGCATCTTCCAATACTTAAAGGGTGCCCACAAGAGGGCAGGAGAATGACTTTTTACAAAGGATGTAGTGTTAGGACAAGGGTGAATTACTTTAAACTGACAGAATATGGATTAGATTTGGATTAGATGTTGGGAAGAAATTCTTCACTGTGAGGGTGGTGAGGCACTGGAACTTCCCGGAGAAGTTGTGGATAACCCTTCAAGGCCAGGATGGATGGGGCTTTGAGCAACCTGGTCTTGTGGAACATGTCCCTGCCCATGGCAGGGGGGGTTGAAACTGGATGATCTTTATGGTCCCTTCCAGCCCAAACTGTTCCATGATTCCACGGGAGAGGGTGAAGCCTGGGAAACCAGACTGAGAGGTGCAGCCAGAGCACAGGAGGCAGCTTTTATGGGCTTTGCTGCATTTTAATGTTTAGGAGATTATCAGACTGACTCATCTCAGACTAAGAAACATGAACATTTATGTTTGCTTGGTGCTTGAGCTGTTTCTTCTGGTCCTTTTTCAGGTGGAAAGAGCCAGCACATCTCTATCTCTTACCTCCAGTACAGCTGACTCTCTGATCTGCACTTAATCTGACCCAAGATAACTGTATGCAGATGATCCTCCACTCACATTATTATCCTATTTCTAATGGCCATTACATTCCATTGCCTACATTACCTGATACAAAGTGGAATACTTAGGCTTCCTAAAGAAGTTTGGATTGAATGATAGATCAGTAACTGAAGTGATTTATTTGCATGTTACTGTAATTCTTAGAGAGCAATCCAGGAATGAAAAGGGGAGGTAAAAGAGAGGACAGGGTAACATTTATTTTTAAAAAATTATAGTAATTCAGGTTTTCATGTTACATTTAGACAAAATTTCTGGAAATTGATGCTATTTGAAAAAATGGCCACCTCTGAGCTAACTCTTGAGCTCGCTTTTGCATGGCCATATCCACAGGAGAGAGCTGGGGATTCAGTAACATTGCATGGGAGACATGGGAACCTAAAGCACTGTATCTACAATATACCTCTTGTTAACCAAAGCATCACCTAATCTGGACAGATGGAAATGCAGCACTCAGGGCCATGTTTTAAGATTATTAAATAAAATGAGTCTTGACTCTTGGGGTTGCCTGAGTCTCAGCCTGTTTTGGAATTAAGTACCTAAGGCAGTTCTTGCTAGCAAGTCACACCAAGTTGTGGACCCTTCTCCTATCCAGATCGCTCCTTCTGGAGCCCTCCTCTTTGTGAATTCTGCTTCTGTCCCTGATGTCCCCTGGTATGAGAATATCTATACAGGAAATTCTTACTCTTTCGTGCTTAAGCTGTTTGCTTTCTATGGAATCAACTGGGCTAGAGATGACACCAAAGTGCCTATTTTCATACTAATCTATGTTATGTACTTTTAATTACTTATATCATTCCTGTATTAAGTACTTACAAGTGATTACATAGCATAAATTCTAGGCCTCCAGAGACATTGCAACTACAAAAGGCATGCAAAGGGGGGCACTTCATATAATCTCACTACATTGGATTACAATCACTTAATTCAGAATTTGCTTTTATTTCTTTAAACTGAATTTCACTTCATTATAAGTTCACCCCAGTCAGTTTGTTTCACTTTGTTCTCTGACTTGGATATTTTATTTCCTTTCATATAAGGAAATTCTTCATTCCATGACAGGAAATGAAATCTTGCGATTTCCATGAGGATCCTTTCGGCAACATTTGGTCCATCTCCCTGCACTTGAAATCTTGAAATCAGAGAAGAAAGTGCAACAAACACTCGGGAAAGGAGATAGGATGAAATAAAACACAATTGAAACAAAATTCAGAAATAGAATGACTAAAACCAAATGGATTGCAGTGAAATGAGATAAAGTGAAAAGGACCAAAATGTGGCATAATTTTACTTACTGAAATCCCAAAATCAGGAAATGAAATCAAACAAAAGGACAAGAGATTAAATTAATGAAATAAAATGCTTAAAGAAAAGGAACATTTTGCAATGAAGTGAAAACAATAAAAGCTAATAGGATTATATGAGCGACAAGACAGTGGCCAAAAGTATGCTGCTGCCTTCTAAAATAGTGAAAATGGTACAACTTCTCCGAGATCAAAGCTACCAATACCTAAATTTCTGGCTGCCACTGAAGCACCAAATGTCACCTCTGAGCTGGCCCCGAAACACTGGGGGAATGAGGTTTTTTCCCCATTGAAAATGGCCATGGTTTGCATCCAGTCGCACTGACGGACAGTGGGGTGCTGCCTCCAAAATTCACAAATGACACAGCATTTCTCCCAGAACAAAGCTGCCACCAACTAGGACTCTGGCTGCCCTTGGAGTCCCAAATGCCACCTCTGAGCTGACCCTGAGACACTGGGGGCTGAGTATTGTTTTCCTTTGAAAAGGAACTGGTTCTCATCCAGGCATTGGAAATCCAGAGAGCTGGATTGAACCTTGCTAAATTAATCCTCATTTCATTCTCAAGTATTCATTTCCTATCATTAATTTAAGAATTTCTTTCAATTAAATGTAATAAAATATTAAATTCAGAAAAGAAAGTGTAACAAACTCTGTTCAAAGGAGATATGATATTATAAAATGCAGTTGAAAGAAGGAAAAATAAAATTTGTAAATGGAATGACTACAACCTAATGTATTGGGATGAAATTACCTGTAGTGAAAATGACCAAAATGTTTCAAAAGTATACTCTATGCAATCCCAAAATCACAGAATGAAGTCAAACAAAGAGACAGAGAAGAAATTTATGAAATGAAATTCTAAAAAAAACCCCAAAAAACAACCAAACAAATTGTAAATCAGAGTGAAAACAATAAAATGGAGTAGGATGACATCAAGTGTAGGTAAATGGACCAAACCCTGCCATATTTATTCTGATTGAACTCACAAGATTTTGTTTCCTTCCATGAAATGAAATGTTTCCTTCCATGAAATGAGGAACTTCATTTCATGAATGGATGTGAAATTTTGAAATCAGAAAGGAAATTGTAACACTCCGGAATGACGATATGATATAATAAAATGCAATTGAAATGTGAAAAAAAAAAATCAATATAATTTCCATTTAATTCAATACAATCAAAATAATCCATGATGGTGACTATGTCATAACTTTCCTGCTGTACAATGGCTTCCAGCTCCTCCTGTTTGTTGCCCATGCTGCATGCATTAGTGTACATGTACTTCAACTGGGCTGCTGATTTCATCCCTGACTCTGGTTTACTCTCCTTGGGCTTGTTTCTGGAGAGCCTTGCATCACCTTCTCCCTTCAAACCTGGTTCCTCTCAATCAGCCGCCACAAGGGCTAGAATCCTTTTTCCCTTGTTAATTAGATGGACCCCAGCTGGCTACAGCAGGCCAGGTGTCATAAATGTTACCCCATGATCAAAGAACCCAAAGTTCTGCCCATGGCACCAGCCCTTAAGCCATATGTTGGTAATGTGTTTTCCCTGCTCCTTTTATCATTTGTCCCTACTACTGATGAGACTGAGCAGAACCTGTGCTCCTGCCCCATCAACCAATCAACCCAGAGCCTTGAAGACCATTTTAATTGCCCTGGTATCCTTCTTTTCAATCTCATCACTGCCAGCCTCAAGTATCAGCAGTGGATGATACAGAGCCTCCTGATAGCCCAGAGCCAGGCCCCAGGGAGGCAATAGACTTCCCTGTGGGATAGGTTTGGTCAAAATACAGGGCCCTCTGTTCCCCTCAGAAGGGTGTCACCCACTATGACTGCCCTTTTCTTTTTAATGCCAGAGGCGCTGATCCATCTGACAGACTAAGTATAATTGGGAGGCTGTTTGGGCAGGTTATTTTCTTTGATGGCACCTGGCTGACCCTCTGGATCCAGGGCCTCATACCTACTCTGGGTAGGTGATAGGGGTCAGAGGATTTTTTATTAACTCCCCAAGCAGGAACTAATTTCCCCTCCCTTTCATCTACTAGGTCTGCTCCTTCTGCCTAGTGGTGAGAGACAGGGAAGTCCACTGACTCCTGTGGGGGCTTCTTTCAGGTATGGAGGGGTGAAACTCCACCAGTGTTGCCCTGTTCTTCTAAGAATGTTTACATTCTTGTAACGAAGTTTCTTACGCAGTTTTATGTAAATAATTATTGTTTTTACATTCTTCTCTGGAGAAGGAGAAATCTGATGAACTGTTGTCTTGTCCGGTGTCATTGGAGAGGTGGCACATGCTTCTTGGGGGGTTCTGTTTGGGTTGGCACACTTTTACTAGCCATAGCTTTTAATCATTTGGAGACCATTGCTGAAAAAAAAAAACAAACAAAAAAACCAGAACCAAAACAAGCAAACAAAATCCCAACACAAAATAAAAACCCCACAACCAGGAGGATGACTGCAACCCAGCCTGCTTACTTTGCCTGTGTACACCATCGTGCTGTGCCCCTGTTTGCCCACTCCTGGCTGCCACCCTCCCTAGAGTCTTCTTTAAAGGAGGAAGCCCCTTCCTGAGCCTGAGTGGCCAAAGAGAAGGAAAGGGAACCTGGTCAGGTCCCTTTTGAAAGCCTCTCAGATGGCATGGATTGGGATGAAATGAGGTGCAGAGAAAAGGATACAACCTTGCAATAATTGTACTCACTGAAATCTTGAACTCAGGGAATGAAGTGAATGAAGAGACAGGAGTAGTAACTGATGAAATGAAATTGTGTTAATGCACCTGTCTGGTTGCCTGGGATATATTATACTTACATTAAATAAGGTGATGTATCTGGCACTGAAACAGTCCTAAGGCCACAAAAAATGGGACCTCAAAGACAAGTACTTTTGCTAAATTTGGAATAGTGTGTTTAAACAAAACACAGGGAATTGAAGAAAGCCAATTATAGGGAAAAATCCTAAACAATTCTTTGCAGACATGGGATATCAGAAAAGTATCTGGAAGCAAATTGTTTTGTGCAAATTTATGGTGCGAGGAAACGGTTGTGATACTTATATCAGTGAAGGGGTATCAAAGGTGATACAAAGGTAATACAGAGACTCCATCATCAGAAGGCATGAAAAGACACCTTGTTGTTTAAAATCTACAGTTCTTATAGAAACAATGGTGGACCTGAGACCTGATTGGCCTTTAGGAATCTTCTCTCACACTATTGGTGACCTATGAATAGCACACTCTGGAGAACCATATCTATAAACAATGGTTACAGAAAGACATGTAATAATTGTTTAAATTCTTTTCCTCTAAGTTTCCCACAGCTTCTACACAGCTTCCCAGGATTTTCCTGGGAGAACCATGTCTCTTTCTGTTCAGAAGGTATGTAATTCCTGCATCACACTCTGTATACTAAAAAAAAGAAAAATGAGGAGCTGTGTTTGCAAATCTTCTGCAGGGCCCTTTGAAGAAGGAAGAACAAACATTGCTCAAGAGGTTTATCAGTTACCAATCAAAACCTCATTCAAAAGCTGATTTAGAATGGCCAGAGAGACTTTCAACATATGCTGTTGAATTCTCTCCAATCTCTTGTGCAAGGGGTAATTATTAATTCTAAGAAATCAGTTACTAATTCTAATATAGTAACAAACCATCATCAGTCTGCCAAAGGACTGGCAGTCCAACTTGTCAAAATCCATTTCCCAGTAAATAAGGTATTAATAAACATGTGCACACACTTAAGTAAGCCAAATTTGGCAAGTTGAGTAACATCTGCTTGCCACAGCTGCAAAGTCATTAGGCCTCTGGGGTTTATCCCAGCCAGTAAGGTTCAGCAAGCCTTGGCTGACATTCATTGAAATTGCTTTTTGCAGTGTGTGTACAGTTCGATAGAAGAATCATGCAAAGCTTTTGGCCTATGCAGTCATGTCCTGAAAGGACAACTCAAGTGATATAAATGAACTTGGGTCTGAATTACATCCCCAAAGTTTTCAAAACAAATGAGTGTGTCTACTGCACAGGCAGAATTGACCAAATTCAGACATGTAAGAAAAATTCTGTAAAGCCATGGCAACAGCCTTTAATAAAACCAGGCCAAGGTGAATTTGTGACATTCCAGGGCTTTGAGCTGTATATGAAGATGATGCTTTTTTTTTTTTTTTTTTTTTTAGAAAGGCCAGCAGCAGGTCTTAGGACCCTGCAGCCAGTGACCACGGTCCCGGTAGCAGGCCAAAAGCAGCCGGCAGGGCAGGGTCTTTGTTTTCATCTTCCGTCCCCACCATGCTGGCAGCGTCTCGGCAACTCCTCCGGCATTTTTCCCCTCCCCCGCCAAAATGGGAGGGAGGATTGCAGGAGCGGCCGAACGCCTCCTCCTCCTACACCCACTCTCTCCAGGGTCCCTGGTCCGTGTTGGCAAATAGGAATGTGAAAAATGCATATTTTATGATTGGCTTTTGGCAAATATTAGAATGAATATTATCTGTGTTATGTTAGAAAGTTATGCTGTATTAATTTTCTTAAGTAGTGTATTAAATATAGTTTTAGGTTATAACATAATGTTAAAATAGAAACTATGTATGTAGGATATTTTTTTCTACATAAAGGACTCACACCAAGATGGCAGTCACAGGACACCTAAATCTTTCAGAGAAAGAGAATTTATTGCTCCCTTATCAGCAGAAACTAATTTCTTCCCGCCTTGCTCAGCCATGAAGATGCCGTTAGGATTAAGACGAAGAAGTTGACACTGACCAGACTGAATCCTTTGTTTGAATGGAATTTATGCATCATGTATGAGACGTATGAATATGCAACGGACCATTGCTTTTTAGGGTTAATCCTTTGTTAACTGGCGTCCTTTTTCGGGCTTATTTTGCCTAGGAAAAGGTACCCGAACGTCCGTAACTCTTTGTTTTTTATTGTCTCATATTGTCCTAATCTCAATTGTCCAAATTTTATTACTCTAATTATATTACTATTTTTATAACCATTTTATTACTATTAAACTTTTAAAATTTTAAAAACAAGTGATTGGCATTTTTCACAGGAAGGATAGGTTCTTCCAGGCATATGAAATTCCATCCTGAATTCGGGGTTCTTGGCACCACCCATGTCTGCCCAGGACAAGCGGGTGATCCACGCTCCCCCCTGTACCTCCCTTCCCTACGATACAAGTGGTTGTTGCCCAGATCTCTGATTCGCGGCCCCATCCCCATTCCCCCCGGGGCAGGAGACCGGTGGCAGCATTGTCGCAGACCGCACCTCCTGCTGCACCTCCTGCCTGATGAGAGCGGGAGGGGTGAGGCACCCCGAGTACCGGTGGGAACCCCACGGAGCAAGAGCACGCCCCCGTCCAACAGAGAGTTGGTCTGAGAAAAATGTTGGTCCAAAGAAAAGCACTGAGTTTCAAAGTTCTCAGCTTGGCGGCACTAGCAGTCAATTGTCGAGCGGCGCCTCTGCTGCGGAACAGGCTGGTGTTTCCTTTCACCGTCCCAGCCCCTGCCTCAGGGAAGCATGCCTCAGGACAGTCCAAAGAAGGCAGAGGGGAGACTGGGCTGGTTGCAGGCTCCGAAGCAGGCTACGAAGCGGAGGACGAAGCCTCTGAAAGTGGCGGGGGCAGAGCGAATCCACTGCAAGAGCAGGTTGCGAAGCGGAGGTTGCAGCTTCCGCTGGCGCAGCGGCAGCAGCCGCCACAGATTGCTGGGGTTCTTCCCCTATGGCGTGATGTGCCGCCAGTCTGCGGCGCGGGGGGGGCTGGCCCCCGCGGCTGCCGCAGCCGGGGCTCCGATCGGCGCGATGGCCACAGCTGCGCGAGAAAGCGCCGCCACAGTTTTTCTCGGTCCCGGTGAGGGCGGCGTCTCTGCCACTGCCGCTGCCGAAGCGGTCGCGGAGCCGGCGGCAGCAGTCAGCTCGGAGCCAGTCGAAACAAAGAAACAGCAGCTGCTCCATCCAGAGCGGGGGTATGTAGCTATGATATTTTATGAAAAATCCTTTGCTAGGATTTTTCTCCCGAGAAGCTGAGGAGCCTCAGGAAAGAAATGTAAACAATAACAATCTGCTGCTGTGGAATGCAACAAGTGCATCTGTGATTGGTGGATGTTGGTTGTTTCTAACTGATGGCCAATCACAGTCAGCTGGCTCGGACTCTCTGGGAGTCAGGAGCTTTTTTTATTCATTCCGTTCCTGTTCTTTTTAGCCTTGTGATGAGTCCTTTTCTCTCTATTCTTTTAGTATAGTTTTAATATAGCATTTTAATATAATATATCATAATATAATAAATCAGCCTTCTGAAACATGGAGTCAAGATTCTCGTCTCCTCAGACACAGCACCAGCCATAAGGGTGGGTGCCACCAGCGCCGCAGTGGGACGGCCTGCAGCGGGGGTGAGCCGGGCAGGGAATGCCGGAAATGCCACTGAGTGCAACTGCACTCCAGCCGCCGTCCTCGGTGCGGGAAGAGTCGGAGCCGGCGGAAATGGAGCGGGACGTTCCGCCAGAGCCGATCGAGACACGGTTCCCGGAGGCATTACGGGCGAAAAACCTGTCGGCTCTGTCACTTTCTGATATAAAGGTCTCCTTGAGCCAGGTCTTATGAGCTCTTGGAGATCTGTATCACGCCTGAGATAGCTCAGCTACCTCAGATGGCCTAAAATCAGCGGGATGGCTTCTGGGGTAGTGTTGGAAACAGAAAAGTTTTAATAAAAGGCAAAATAACAAAGCTCATTACAGAGAAAATCCGAGCCAGGGCCAAGAGGCTCTTGCTCCTGGTAAAACACCTCACAAAAGTGATTCGTTCCTTTGTTCTCTTTTTCTGGTAAATTGCTTAGGCGGGATTTTTTGGCTTCTGTCCAGTTGGCTATCCTTAAGTTTGTGGGGAAGTCCCCAAGGTCCTATGAGGTGTCATTTTACGTAATTGAGGAGAGAAACTTCTGGGCTTTTTCCTTTTCAAGGAGACAAAGGATAATTTGGTCAATAGGAGTTGCATATTCCTAGAACTTTCCTGTTCCCCGGGGTCTTGTGCCAAAGGGCTTTAGAAATGCATTTCCAGGTAATGACCAGCGTGGATGGCAGTTAGCAAACAATCACTGATGGATTCCCAAGTCTCGGAATGGAATGCAGGGCCCGTGCCTGCATCTGCTGCAAACCCATGATCTATGGCCCAGGCCAGCTGATCGCAGAGAGCTTCCTCTGAGACAGCAAGTCTCAGAGGAATTATCAGATTCCTCCATTTGTTCATCTCTGGAAAGCTGGTTCCCCATTTTTAAGGAAAACCTGTTCCTCAGCAGGCATCCACTTCAAGAGACAGACAGTCTGCTGTGTCAGGAAAAGACATCCCCCACTCAGTTCTCGGCCTCCTGGGGCCGACACCTGCGGTCAGGACTAGTCCTCTCAGGAAGACATGGGACTGATTACAGTTACCTCACTAGGAGGGCAGAAGGTGTCCAATCTATCTTGCAGGGAATGCTGGAGGTCAGCCCGAGTTCCTCTAATGGAGAGATCCAGACGGTCTCCAGTTTCTGCCAGACACATGACACAGACTGGGATGACTATTACTAACCCCAGCCATGTCTGTACCCTTGGAGAAGTCAGCAATGTCAGTCCAATGTTCAGACACACTTCAGAGGAGTCATCAAAAAATCAAGGCAGAGTGTTCACCCACACGAGGGGTCACCAATTGTCGTGCGACCCCCGCGCCCCGCCCCCCCCCCCGGGTGTACCCAACATCGGAAGTCACTAATTATCATGCGACTCCATGAAGGGCTGATCGATGCAACACACTCAGATCACCAGTTATCACTTATCACTATCAGGGGTAGTAGGGACAGCCAAAGGTGTTATGAATAAAAAGTTTTTTTAGGTTGCAGAGTTAAAAACAAGTCAAACCAGTGCTGTTAAGTTAGTTTCATTGTTAAGAGTTCTTCTTCAATTATCTGTTAATGGTTGGTGATTAACCATTGTCACCCTGATGCTTGCCAGGGAGGGACACTGGGACAGACCCTCCAGGTACCAGGAGAATGGGAGTGGCATTAGAGCTAGTATGCAGATGAGAAATGCATTGCGCCCTGAATTTTGCAGTTTTCCAGGAAAACCCCTAAGAATTACGAGCCAACATAGAACTAAGTGACCTAAGACGTCTAAGGATGGGAATGTAGTCCAGTACCTGCTTGGATCCTTTTTGCTTCTCACCCTAACCTGAAAAGATGTTGCTTAAAGAGACAACCCGGGGTCTTGGACCAAAAAGGCAGAATCTGCTAATCTCCCGTGAGGATGGAATCCCCAGCTCTGCCTGCAGACCAGCAGACAAAGCTGCATCACCCTCCTTCTCCGTGCCACTCCTGGGAGCAGCGGCGGCGTGGGCGCGACCCGTTGATTTCTCCCCAGCTGAGCTGATTCTTTTTAATAAAGGCATTAAAAAGGAGAAAGATCTCCTGCCCATTTATTTCAAAAGGTAATACAGAGACTCCCATCATCAGAAGGCATGAAAAGACACTTTATTATTAGAAATCTGCAGTTCTTACAGAAACAATGGTGGACCTGAGACCTGATTGGCCTTTAGGAATCTTCTGTCATACTATTGGTGACCTATGAATAGCACACTCTGGAGAACCATATCTATAAACAATGGTTACAGAAAGACATGTAATAATTGTTTAAATTCTTTTCCTCTAAGTTTCCCACAGCTTCTACACAGCTTCCCAGGATTTTCCTGGGAGAACCATGTCTCTCTCTGTTCAGAGGATATGTAATTACTACAATATTTATGCTCAAAAATGTAACTTATTTTCTTTTTGGTCCTGTTTCTCCCTTTTATAATTGAATAGAGGACACTGGATACTTTAAGTTCTGAATATTTTCAGGATTACCCTTAGCTGTAAATAATAGGAAAAGACAGTAAGTGAGTTGTTTCAAAAGAGAAATGGAAAAGTCATTTGGAAAAATTTATTTAATAAACAAAGTGGGAGATGTGGGGGTCAGGGGTGAGAAAGCTATCTCAGGAATGGCTTGAGAAAGCACCGTTGTCTAAGTCAGGAGAAATTAATTCCTTTCCCATGGTTCAAATGCTGTACTCCCTTTCACATCCCACTCATCCTGTACCCTTTATGTCTTTCATTAGTTACTCCTGTGAAAACTTTTCCCTTCCCATCCCCCTCCATGTAGCTGTGCACAAAAGCTGTAACTTTCCCCAAAGATGGGGCACTCGCCATGGTGTCCTTCTGCTGGTTGTTAACCGATCCTGCTGTCCCTCCATCTCACCGTCTGTCCCTCAGCCTACCCTCCATGTTTTCCTATCCCTTTTGGAAGCCCCTTGTGTGTGCTGGTTGTGCAAATGACATTTGGCAGTTGTAATGTACTCAGCCTATGAAATTCTAACAGTCACAGAAGGTTATCTATGGTGAGTGACTAATACCTTCTAAATTAAGGCCTGTAATTGTACTACAGTGATTAATGCATTAAATCACCCATTTTTTACATGTAGGACACTTACAAATGTGTATCTTATTGTATCTCTAATCTCACCTATCATGTACAATAAGCAGGTGAAATACATGAGCATTTCCCCTAGGCTCCTTCTACACCAGGCTTTCATCCACACAAGATCAACGCTGTAATAAAGTCATCATTTCTGGAGATGCACATTCTAAGATCTTGCATAGGTAATGCCATTAAGTTCCTTTACCTTATGAGTCCCAGTTAAAATTGCCATAATAAATGCCAAGAATTATTTAATTAGTTGATTTTTTCCTATATGGATTTCATAGCTAACATTGGAAAAATCTGTGGTCTCTTCAATAAACCGCTAACTTTATTTAAAAAAAAGGACAAAAAACCAGTATTTTGGGAATAATTAAAGTGTTCTAGAAAGATTTTTATCAAAGCAGTGAACTCAACAGTTTGTCCACATAATGGAGAGAATAAGAAAAGATAAAATTCTACATGTACAAAGTTAATATTCTCTCTTTATGTATATCGAAGAATCTAAGATGAACTTCTGCAAATTATTTTTTTCCTGTGCTAGGTAACATTGATTTTGATCTCAATCTCCTTCTGTGAGCTTTTTTTCTTAGTGAGACTAAAGACTTTGAAGATGCAGGTTTTTGCATTTATCTGCCTTTAGAACCTTGGCTGTCACTGACTTCAGTTACAAATATGACTATGTTAATTTGAGCAAAGAAGAGAAAAGCAGGTTCAGTAAAGGCTAACTGAGCAAAGCTTGATCAATTGAATAAAGTGCTCTATCCATCTCAACCTAAGGAGAATTCAATGTATTACATTTTATCTTGAAAATGATGATACTTTCATTTTAGCACACACTGAAACCAAAGATTCTCTGTTGAATTTAACATGGTCAGATCTTGGCAAAAAGAAACCCTCAGAGTATCAATGCAGGATGACCCCCAGCCGGGGAATAACATGCAGTGACTCCATGATTCAGAAGGCTGAACAATTGCTTTATTAAGCTATAATATATTACACTATATTACACTACTACTATACTATACTAAAGAAAAACCTTTGACCCTTTCAGACAGTCACAACACAGCTTTTTCCTAATTGGTCAATCAATCCAAACAACCATCACCAGAGTTCAATTAACAAATCCCTTTTGGTAAACAATCTCCATAACACATTCCACATGTGCCAAACAACAGGTGCAGCAAATAGAGATAAGAATTGTTTTCTCTTCTCTCTCTGAGCATTCTCACTGCCTTCCCCAGGAAAAATCCTGGGAGATAGAATTATGTCTCCGTTCAAAGAGTAAGTTGTGCTTACCCTGCTTTAGATTTTTAAACCCAAGTAAAAATATGCAAAAGGATAGTGATGGAGGAACTGGTTCAGCTTGCTCTACTTCTCTCCCAGATCTGAGGAGGTTGAAGGAGAAAAATGTTCTCCCACAGTTTATTATGGGTAAAATGCAGCCCTGGATTGTCTGACCTCCACAGCTGTACAGGATAAATCCCTGTTTTGGGCCCTACTGTCAGGCCAGCTAGCCAGAGCAGCAGCAGTAGCTGCCCCTTGATGCCACTCAGAGTAGAAGGAGACTTTTGTTTGGGCAACATCCACCGGCCAGCTGTTCCCTGTATCCTGCAAAAAAAAGGCTGACTGGAGCTGAAATCTGGTTTTACTCTAACTTAAATACCTTTCAAATGCTGGGGCTGTAGCAAAATGACCTGTGGCAGCTTTCATGTTATTCAGTTGTCTGGCATCGGGATATGAGTGTACACGTGAAGTACTTGCACAAACTCAGGTTCTGCCATGGAATCACACAATGCATGTGGGATTGAGAAAGACAGGAGAGAGCCTTAAGACATTAATTTCTGCAGTGTTAACAGAAAGAGGAGATTAAGGTAAAACGAAATCCACTGGTAAGACCAGAAGAAATGTCCCACAAAATTGAAAACTGTACATGCTGACAATATGCCAGGGTTGTGCATGAAGCTGGGATTTAAAAGTCAGCACCTCCCCAACATCTTTGTGGCTCCTGTGGTACTTGAGACATGTCAGTCAACAACAGCATACTCAGCCAGGATGGCTGGCTTGGTCCATGCTGGCCACTTCTCCAGATGTAAAAATTACACATGAATTGTGACATGTCATGTTGTGCCACTCAAAAACACAAGGGATGAGGAGAGCATAAAACCGGCACATCCCTTCTTGCACTCCCAGAACATTATTCTTTTAAGGATCTCCAGAGTGGTTTAGTACCAGAGCATGTGATATCCTAGAGAAAAAAATCCTTAACTTCGAAAGATTCCTGCAGGCATTAAAAGAAGAACTTGAAGTCTCAATACTAGATCACATTTTTTACCAGAAAGCAGGTAGAAGTAATCTTCTGTTCAAGAGGGAGGACTGATGGGTGACCACATGAACTCCCAAGCTGGGTGGCTGCTTCCTCTGGCTCTTATGTCCAGGGCAGGAGGGGCCCCAGCATGGTGCAGACAAGAAAGACCCACCCATTAGAGAGCAGTGTGGGAGGCTGTGCTTCCCAGTGGCCACCATAGCCCTCTCTGGAGAGATGCCTTTCCACTCCAGCTCCTGCCCCACAGCAGGGAATCAATTGATGGGGTGAATACAGAATAGAAAAACACAGCAGTTGTTCTGCAGTTCCTTCCACCGCGCCCAGTGCTCAGTTTAGCCAACCTCCACTAAGTAGTGCTTTGCACTCCTGATCTTATTCCAACAGCACCTGCTAGCCAGGAGTAACTGGAAAAAGTGCTTGGAGCAGGATGCCACATCACTTCTGGCTTCATCCACACCTGAAAGTCCAACCTTTCAGGCATGAAATGTGTTTCACTTTTGTATGTCCTCTTCCTGTATTTTTTCTGCCTGTTTTGATGTGACAGCAGTTTCTGCTCATTTTGTGCTATCAACACAAGCCCTAAAACACTGCTCTTATCTATACCTGTTCCTGCCATGGAATGTCACTGCCTAAAGAAAAGACAGATGCTGCAGATGCCAAGAAGAAGCTTCTGTGATTCACTGCCTCCGAAGCAACCATCACGTCACAAATAATATTTTCCTGAAAAGAGCATGCTTGCCATTTTCAGTAACCCCACCCATTGCTGATACTGTTTTCTTTGTACATTTGAGAGAATTTGGTGCCTGGTCACCTTTGCTCCTGGCTTTGTGGCCAGTGCACCAGTACTGATGGAGCTGAAATAGCCTTCAGCAGTGAACAGCTGTTGTTTTTAAGAGCAGAACCAATTCTCTATGACCATACCAAGGATTAAAGCAGTTGCTCAAGTGGAACATTTGTCAGTTATCACAAATTTGTGCTTTTGAGGGTTTCTTGCATTTCCTAACTTCTACAAGTTATATTGAAACAGTTGTGTTTGGCATGTGTACATGCAAGTCTATCTACATTTGGAATTTAAAATGTATCACAACCTACTTGGCAGCAGTTTCCCTGTAAGCTTTAGCATATACTTATGGCTCTGCACAATCATTCTTCATTTCTTTTTCTGTGGCTCTGCTAATCAAAGCCTCAGCTCACTTTCCTATTAAGGTCCAAACTCTCTTCACTCTGTTAAAGAGAAAAATACTCATCAAAGGTCTTTGAACCTTTGATTTTTTTATTGGTGTAATCCTGATGATTGCATAGGACTCTTTCTGACCAGCAGCCTATGATTTGTGCCGTTCTCACTCAGTAAACAATTCTTTTCCACAGCGCTTAAATATGTAATTGCAGGGCAGAGGCTGTTGTTCCCTAGGAAAAGCACTTATGAACATGGCTTGCACTAAGTGTCGAGGTTTCAGTGTAATTATGGGCTAATATTTCTATGGTTTACATGCTGGATTTCTTTCCAGGGTCCAAATTATGAACATGGGATTTGGCTTCCCTATTGTGAACTTCCTCTTCAAGTGCATGACTAATCTGGAGAGAAAATTAATGCATGGGGACAACATAACAATGAGGCTACGCCTAAGCTTAATTAATTAATTAATTAATTAATTTATTTATTGAAACTATTTGTTTAGTTTTCAATGGTACTCATTTTGGAGCTGATGTGAGTTGAAAATATTCACTACCTCACAGAGCCGCGCCTGACAGACATCATGAAACAAAGATCTGACGTGCTGAATACTGCTGAGACAAAAACCTAAGAGGATTTGCAACGATTTCTAATTGGGCCAGCCTTGACCAGTGCCATGCCCATCTTTGGAGTCACCAGGAACTTGGTCTGCTGAACATGAAAGAAGCTTCAAGCAAGTTCTCACAGAACCAATCCTTGTAGTCCCACCAGCTACCAAAACCAGGCAATGCTAAACCAATACAATTTCACTCCATTCCATTCCATTTCATTCCATTCCATTCTTTTCAATTTCTTTCAGAATTTTATATTTTATCAATTACATTTAATTTAATTATATTTCCTTCCATTTCTATCCATTGTACTTCATTTGTTGATTTCTCATTTAATTTCCTTTAGTGAAATGAAAATTTCTCATTTCATGCAAGGAAATGAAATTTCAAAATTTCAATGAGTATCATTTGGTAAGGTTTGGTTAATTTCACTGCACTTCATTCCATTCCATTTCATTGTTTTAATGTAATTTCACAATTTACTCTTTTTCTTGCATTTCATTAAATGTCATTCTATTTCCTTTCCTGTCTTTTCATTTCACTTCATGCCTTGATTTCTCATTACATTTCCTTTCATGAAATGAAATCTCAAGATTTCAAGGAGTATTATTTCAGTAAGTTTCAATTAATTTCATTGCACTGCAGTTCATTCCAGTCCATTTCAACAATTTAACTGCTCCTAAGAATTTAAAAAAAATTAATTTAATTTTATACTATTTCCTTTCCTGCCTTTTCATTTCACGTCATTCCTTGAATTGTCATTCATTTAATTTCCTTCCTTTTTATATATTTTAGAGGAGGCAGATATTTGATTTACGTCTGCTGTCACCTAGTGACATAAGATATGGTTTGGTGACACAGCCTCAATGAAGAGACTGAAGGTCGGGACAATTAATCACATTCTTGTCCATAATTTAATATGAAGATATGTAGGCATATTTAGGACACTTAAGCATCCAAAGGTGAAGGCAGTGCTATTTTGGATTTCCAAGTATCTAAGAGGGAAACTGTCTTAGTTCACTTTGTTGTTGCCTAGAGCAGCCAAAGGCTGTTAATGATCTGTTGCACAGCCCTCATGTGTTGTGAAGACGCAAATTGATCCACAGTACCACAATGCACCCAGTCAGCCTCAAGTCACTGCAAATGCTGTAATGCAGATAAAATCAGAAGTCTGGGTAGATTTTCCAGAGTCCAGTTTTGCTCTAAAGAAGTGTAATGACAAACCCCACCTTCCCTTGGAAGGCAGCACATGGCCTTTCTTCTGCTTCTGGGAATCCTGACTGCATGGTCAGAAAGAGCTCATTGCTGAAAGGGGTCCCAGTTCTCATTCATTTCACTGGAAACTGAGAGCAGTGTGTATATCCAGAGCCTTCTGTCTGTAACAGCTCCTAGATTCAGAAATGCAGGGAACAGGAGCCTCCCAGACCAGAGAAAAATTACTAAAGAGACATCATTATCTTTAATGATGCTTATTCTTGGCAATTTTTCCTCCCACTTTTCCCATAAACCAAAGAGAACACTACAATCTAAGCCTTGTTGTAGGTATGCCTATCCCCAGTAAGATGTATTTGTGATAGAATCAGCCCAGCTCCTTAACCAAGAAGCTGGACACTTCACAGCTGTCATGATGTCCTTTTTAATGCCAGGCTTCAGCACTTCTGTAGCACTTCTGTAGCTTCTGCAGTCTACACTGCACACTGCTGCAATGTGAATGGATTTGTAAGAAAACCTGCTATTGTGGCACTTCTCTTCCCAAGTGGTTGCCCAAAATCTGATGGAAAAGCAAGCAGGAGGTGTACAAGCAGTTGGACTAACTCTCATTTTTGCTGCAGCACTTCAGTAAAAGCCAATTATACCGACCTCCAGTAATGGCTCTATCAGTGATAGACTGCAGACAATTTATAGTCATCGTCAATGAACAGGCTAAGTGAAGCTAAATAATTCTGCTAAACTTTTTAGTAAGTAATTAACCCTGAAATATTAACAACAGGCAGCTCTGGTAATGGTTATGAGAGAAATAACAACTGGTTGCACAGTTATTAGCATAAGAGCAGTGAACAAGGCAGGTGAAAGGGGTCCCAGCATGTGCTGTCATGGAATTAATAGAAGGGACAAGAGTGGCAAATGTGATTCCCTGAGGGCAGTGCAGTTCCAGGGGCTCACAGAGCTACTCGAAGACATGTGCTTTGGCAAGAGCAGCATGTACTCAGCAATACATGGATGGAAGTCAGAAGTGGATGGTAATAAGGAATGTTAAAAATAAATCCAGCCTCATCCACAGAAAATATGTGAACCTGACAGGTCAGCAGCTGGCAACTCTTTAGTTCAAGCAGTTATCCAGGGGACAAGAAATTCATACTGGAGCACCAGGAAGCAGGCAGATGAAATGACTGGCTGTGCACCCTGTGCTCCCTAACTGGACCGTATCAGTGCCAATTTTCTGAAGATGTGAGCTCACCAGTTTCAGAAAGGAGGGGGTCTTTTAAAACGTCTTACCTTAACAATGCCCTAAAACATTAGCAGATCCTTAAAACCTTTGCTGTTTTATAGGAGCATTCAGAGCACCTGTGAATATTGGGCCAATGAAAGCTGGTGAGGTAACAGTCCTGAGACCAAGGCATAGACACAGCACTCATGAAGCCATGTGGGTTCCCCTCAATGTCCCTCTCCAACCATTTTCATGGACCATTTGCCAGCAGAGTGAGGAGCTCCATGTCCCTTCTTGTCCTCTCTGCTGAGAACGTAAATGAGCAAGACAAATATGAGGAACCTCTTATATGGGAGGGAAAGTGTCCTGCTGGATACTGCTCTGCAAGTAAGCAACTTGTTTTGCTTCCCAGCATGACTGGAGTGGCAGAATGAAACTGAAACAACAGCATTAGTTACCAAAAAAAGCTGAGTGAATAGAAGCATAAGCAGAGGAGAAATGAAGGCAAACACAGTAAAATGATAAAAGTGAATCCAAACCAAAACAAAGGCCCTTATTTTAAGCAGAATCAGTCTGATGGCAGAAATGCAGAGGTGAAAGAAAAGAGATGCTGAAGCCCCAAAACTTGGAAGTCTGTGCTTTCCTCTTGACTTTCTTTTGAACCAGTTGCATTAAACAAACAGATCCCTCTGTTCTTACTGGAGAACATGGGGAATTTATCCATGTCCCCTGGACTTTATTAAAATTAGATGTCTTTTCGTCCTCCTCCTTTCTTCCTTCTCCAAATTTCTGCTTAATATGTTTTAGCAGGTGAATGCAATTTTCCTGGGTTAAAAAATGTCCTCACATAGCAGCTGCCCCTGCCCTGCAGGGCAGACCCTTTGCCTTGCTGAGGAAAGGTGCCTCGAATCGCAGTCAGCCTCATCCATCCAATTTCTTTATGGGGTCTTTGTGAATTATGAAAAGTCTGCTCTGACTTTTCAATAAGATAATTCAATCAATTCAATAAATTTCAATAAGATAATTCAATCTCAGCCCTTTCTGTTGCTGTTAAATCACCTATCTTCCTGTCCTGGAAAATAGGGCTGAAAGAACAGCCTGTGTGCTACTATATAATAGTAGTGAGGAGAGAAACCTGGAGTGTAAGTTATATACATTATATGGGGAGAGAAGGATTTGTCTGTCTATTCTGGCTGCACACCTTGGCCTGGGAGAGTGATAGGCAAAGCAGGGCCCATCTCCCCTCTGCCACAGGGCTTCCCCTCCAGTATAGTACAATTCCTTTGGGAACTGTGTTGAAGGGACTGGATGTGTCCTTGACTTGGGAGATCCCCCTGGATCTCCCAAGTCAAGGACAGATATTTGGGGCAGATATTTACTTGCTTTGTAATTCTTTCTGCCTCCAAGTCATGCCTGGGCATCCACAGGAGATCAAGAACAGGAGCTTGAGATGTGCTTCTCTCATCTGTGCTACTCCCCCTCTGACAGCTGACATGCTAAGCTGTGCTGCCATCCCTAGCACAGAGCAGGGAGGAACAAATGGCTTTTGGGCATGGGAAGCAAGTTTAACTTAAGCATGACAATAGGGTCTGTGCTCCAGTTGCCTGACCTGCTATTTCTCATTGAGCTCAACAGGTGTCTTCAGATAATTGCCAAGAGAGGATTCACTTCACCTAATGCACAGAGAGTATTATCAGGGCTGCATTCATTTAGTTGCCTAAGATAGACATGAAGACCAGAAAATCCCAAGTTTGGATTTGTCACATAACAATATTCTGAAATCAATGTCACTTCAATTCAACAGGGTTTAATTCATAGGATTTTATTGGAGTTCAGCCCATGCTACATGAAAGCTTTTGTTTGTGGAATAGAGAGTATTTCTGGCTGTAGTTTTGATGAGCACTGACCAGTGTGCCCAGTACCATCAATTTGGAATTAATCTATGGGCAAAATTTGGCATCAGCCAAGTTTAGTTCTCACAAGCTGGGAATCATGCAGACAGAATGAGAAGGGGCCCCAAAATTCATATTGTGCATCTCCCCCAATGTTTTCCTGGCTTCTACTTATTTAAAACAGTCTTAAAAAATATCTCAGAGGTTTTTACAGCTTCTTCAGATCATCTCTCTTTCCTAGTAACCATTCCTGTGACTAGAATGTTTCTTCTAATATCTAACCTAATTCTCTCAAGCCTCAATTAAGTCTACTATTCTTGTCCTACTTATACGGATAAATTCCATCTTTGCAAAATACATTTCTTACAGAAAACTGAATTTCTGTGTTCTCTTTGGTCTCCCGTTGTTCACACTGAACACTACGTAATCTGTGAGGTCAGGACAGGTTCTTCAAATTCTCTCTGCTTGATTCTTTCTGCTTGGCTGCCATCCAGCTGCACCCCGTTTCCCTTGAAGAGGAAAAAAATTGCTCAACATTTGACAAACTGCTCTAGCTGAGGCCTTACTAGTGCTGAGTGCAGCTGAACGATTGCTTCATGCATTTTATAAGTTACAGTTCTGTGTAAACACTCCTGTGTTGACATTTAACATTTTCACAACAGCCAGGTTCTGTTGACTCATGCCCAGGTTGTGACTCACTCCCTGAATTCCCACCCTTCACCCAGCACTGTGCATGTCAAGCCCCTGTTCATAAGTCAGTGCTCAAGGCTGACACATTGCTCACTTCTCCTCTTTTCTCATTTTTAGAAATATTGCCAAGGTGAAGCCAGTTCTTGTTTTTCATTCCTGGAGTTCTCAGTACACACCAATTTTCTCTCTGCTGAAGGCACATGGGTTGTCCATCTTCACTAACACCTCACCAACAAGTGTTTTCCTGGATCTGTTTTAATTCACATCCAGCTAGCTCAAGGGAAAACAGCTTATGATCTGCATAAGATATGCTCATCCTCCCATCTGGTCTCATTTACACAGTGAAAATCCTGCTGTGGTCATAGCAGCCCTCTTGTCTCTTTAGGCCCTGAAAACATCCTGAGGTCTTAGGCCAGAGAGCTGTGGAGTTCTCCAGGGTGTCCAGGTTGCTGGGCAGACTGGGGGCACCTGGGGGCAGCCCCCAGCCCAGGGCGTCACTTTGTGGGCTGGGACACAGGTGTGGATCCAGAGGCAGGCAGTCCTCTCATGAAAATTCAAGCCCTATGTGGAAAAAAATAGCATGAGAAAAAAATTCTCTCTTTTTCCCCTGATATTCAAGCATGCAAAACCCCCAAACTCAACCACACAAATAATCCCCCCCAAAAACAGCCTTTCAGGAAGTTTTATCCAACATCAGCAAAAAATGTTAAGACTTTTAAAATGGTAAAACCCTTTAAAAATTGTATTTGGCACAGTCCTATCAAAAGGCTATCAAGCAAAATTAATATATTAATCTTTTCTAGAGTATTTGCAATTCTGCACTTCTTAAAATAAAAACGTTCTAATAAGTCATAAACTTACATTTCTTCAATTACCACATCTGTCTCCCTTAATAAAATGACTGCAATACAATACACACAGCAGTGTGAATCTGTAAAACCTCAGAGCTCCAAATATTAATCAAGAAGCTTCCATAGAAATTAATAAATGGAAGCAAAAAAAATTAGTAAGGGATGAAATTTCACAGGCTGCTAAAAGACCAGAAAAGATGGATTTCATAATATTTTAAAAGGCATTTAAAGTAAGTCCAATACTTGTCAATGGTATTATGAAACTGAAATCACATAACTGACGGGAGGCTTGGGGTGTGCTTCGGTTCAGGGTTGGTTTTACAGCACTCTTGTCTTGTTTGCTGCAGTGGTAATTCTGAGCATCAGCTGGTCCTCTGGAAAACTTGAGATCTAAAAAGGAAGGGGTAGCCAAGAAAGTACAAACACCTGATGGATACATCTGTGGGATAAACCTGAACATACAGCTGCAACTGAGAAAATTCAGGAGAAGAAAAATGGAAATATAGTGTAAGCAAGGATGGAGGATAAAATGGAATATGTCTCATTTTTCAGTACCAATCACTGTGTTTCGAAAATCTTACTATAGGATAATTGACAGGATTACTTCTGCTTGCCAAAGCTTTTGGTCTGCTTTTGCTTTTTGCTGTCATACAGTTGCTGACAGGATGCTAATAAACACTTTTCTTGAATGGTTACCTCTATTATTCCACTAGCCTGGTTCATGAGTGGGACCACTAAATGCTACCACAATACAAATAAATCAATAAACATAAGAAAATAGCAGAGCAGCTTGTAGTGATCCTCTATTTACTGCAACAGACATATTATTAATTTACTTTGTACATAAAATCAGAACTCAGTTGTATTTCCCCCTTTGGTTTGGATTAGCCTACATGATGGCAATCTCTGTCACTAACACACAGTGAGTTACTCGTTCAAACACTGCCAGTTTAAGGTATTTCATCTGCACAATACCAAAAATAAGACAAGAAAATCAGCTCCAATTTCCGTAAGTACATGAAACAGCCAGGAATCTTCCTGACAAAGAACAAATAGCCTGTAAAACCATGGAGTGAACCCCTCATACAGGCTTTAGCATAATGTTCTGGCACAGCCTGCAGAGCAGAGAAAACCCTCAATGAAACCCACATTGCACCTGCAGAAGCTGTGCCCCTGCTGCACCCATTCCGTATGCTCTGCTTAACCAAAACCACTCTCTCCATTTTCAGCTGGATAATGGATGCAAAGCTGAAAATACCACAGGACAGGTGTTCTGCTACCTCCTACCTTCACTGTTCTGCTACCTCCTACCTTCAGGTAGAAGTTGGTGAAAGAAGTGAGGAAGGAAAATAGGCCAACTACACAATAGTCAGATAAGTTAAAAGAACTGAAACTCAGCTTTATTATTATTTTTTAGAAAGTATTCTACAATAATGGCTCAGAATACTACCACAATGTACAGGGACAAGGCAGTGCTCTGGGCTATGACTGTAGATTACTCTCATATATATATATATTTAAGTGCTTAAGAAAGGTTGAAGCATGGCAGTTTGACATTTCTTAAGCATGTATTTCATAATTTTAACATCTTCTAAATCTCTCATATTACAGCATGATTTATCAAATGCAATGTAGTCACAGAAGTCTTGCATAAATACAAATATTGATACTTTACTTTGAATATTGTCTATAATATAAATTCTGCCTTACCTTTAAAAAAAGATCTCCAGATCGTTATGTGACCTGGGAGTCTTTCCTTTTCTTTCTCTTTAAGAGTTTTTAAATATATATATATATATACATATATATACATATATATATATATATATATTTATATATATATATATATATATATTTGCTATTGTACATCAAAGTATATATGAATCCCATAATTTCTGTTATATTTTCCACAGACATGGTCTGAAGCAAAATCACCAACAACTAAATCAAAAACTTCCTGGTTATCATAGGAAAGACAAAGAGGATCTTTCCTCTTTTTTTGTGTGTGTATTTCAGTACTGATATTTTTTAAACTTGAAAGGATTCTTCATAAACTAGAGGTCCATAGATCATTTAAAGCAGTCTTTATAAGCAAATTTACATATTTTGACATGCTTTTGTGAGGCAGTTAGTGTCATAATCCAATAGCATTTCTTACAGGGCCATATGACTTTCTGCGATGCAGACATACATTTCACTTCTAAAAAGCCACAGTTCTTTTTCTACATCTGCTCTCATCAAATCCCCAGGATTCATTCATAAAACTGCTGCAGTTCCAAATGCTGACGCTGTTGTTCCCGCTGCGGATTAAGACATACACCCAACCTGGTGACATCATCGCTTGGAAGATTGATAAGCAGGAAAACACCCTCCCCAAATCCACAGAGAGTCTCTTCTGTCTCTGAATCCTCATGATTCATATCACCCAACAATACAATGTGATAAGGACACAACTCAATGCAGGCTAAGGGTCTTCTTCCATCAAAGGAATCTCTAGGAGAAATAAAGAAATAGCATTGACTGCTGATTGCAATTTCCCTTTTTGCTTTTGCAGAGCATAATTGTTACCAATTCTACAAAACCAGAAATGGACATTGCAAATATCTGAACAAGACATGGGATATTGTCAATCCTAGACCCACTCAGACCCTAACACCTCTATGAAAATTAGATAACTAAAACTACACAGATTTAGTTAGGACCAATAAGTTAGGACCACAAAAACCTAAATGCAAACATCCTTGGTACTACATTAATCACTGAAGCAGCATTCAGAGATGGAAAGGACTTTAACTGGCAGCCCTGTAATTTCTTTCTCTCCTCCTGGGTCTCCTGTTCCCCTTGTGATACCACTAAAACTATCCGAACCCCTCTCAAGCAGAAGACTTCCTCCACCCAGACCTTCATCCACACTGAATTTAGGACACTGGGCTTCAGCTCAGTGATAATGGAGAGTGGGATATGAGCCTGTCCCTCGAAATGTCTCCAAGGAAAGCCATCCAGTTTTCTTAACATGCTGAGCAGCATCAATCAGAACTCCATGAAATCGTGCCAGTACATGCTCATGTTTGATTTAAAGGCGGGCAGTAGTACATGGCAAGCTCCCTTCTGGCACATGGACCTGTGGCATTTTCTCCTTATGCTGTGACTTCCATAACCATGGCTTAAGGCTCACATGCCTCAGATGGAAGGAACATTTTGCTGGATGCACAGACATGATGAGTTTGTTAATAAAGGCTGCTAATTTTGGCCCAGTATGAAAATACTATTTATTTCCTCTTTCAAGGAGAAAATCCTGTTATTTGCTGTGAAAGCCAGGGTATGTGAGGGAGCTGTGAACATAGGAGTTGAGGAGCAGATGAACAGACCAGCACAGGCAAGGTGAGGCTTGGCTTTGCTGCTATACACAGGTGTTTGCTGATATCCCTGTTGATGAGACTGGGGTCTGGACAGGAGCCTTCTAGCCTGGCATTCAAATCACATGCACCACAGCTAGCAAGGACATATCACAGACATGAAATTCTATAACCATGGAGTTTTATGATTTAAAAAAAGTTTCAAATTAAGGTGTAGACAAAACCATGGAGAAAGTAGGAGCGAGTCAGCTGGGTGAATTCCTGCTCTGCCACTACAAACAAATGATGTCCCCTGTCCATGGACTCACCATCTGTGATATTGATTCGGGGACTTGTGGATGCAGCATCCCCATCAGTGCTGTGGGATATGTCAGTTCGATCTGAGCCGGGAAGTGCTGCCACTTGGCATGTCAGGGATGGGTACAAACTTTGGAACAGTTCAGAGGAACCCGACCTACTGTCACAGGTCTCAAATTCACTGGGCTGCATGTCTGGAATCCTGGGACCAGGGTAAGCAGGCGGATTCTGATCTTCTGTCTGCAAAATATGCCCCTGGTCTGCGGCAGCTAAGTATCCAGGTGCCAGGACATTCAAACCGCTGCTGACAGCTTCATCGTAGGAAGGCAGCATGACAGGAACACCATCCACCACCACAAAGTCAGGGTCGCCCATTGAGTCCTCCTGGTTGCCTCTATGTCAAACACAGAAAGGTTATCGCAGAGAGCAGAAGAATGTCAGCAGCACCTGGGAGCAACTGCTGAACTCCAGTAAACACAGTATTTTCTAGTCATGCCAAATGAAGCTACAGGGTCATTAACATTCACAGAAATGTTTGCCAAACTATGCTTGGGTTGACAGGTGGAATCTGTTACAATCGGAAAAAATGAAACTGGTAATGGGAAGAACAGTTTCAAGACGGGAAGGTAAACAGATATGTGGAAGAGATAAGGAGCACCATTTGCTGTGCTGTGCACAGTAGGTGTCATGGATATAAGATCATAGATATAGTTCACCAGGCAAAAGTGTCTGGATCCCTTGCAAAATGTATGCTAGAGCACAAAAGTGTTTACAGCCCAAGTAAATGAGTGCTGAGATTACCACTGCTGGATGACAAGGGTTTGGTGGCAAGACTTGTGGCCTCCTTCAGATCTTGCTTTCAAAGAATGGAGGCGTCCTTAATGAGTATTAAGCTGATTTCTTTTTTAAGCAAAACATTTCTATTAATTGGGAAGGTCCATTAAACCCTAAAGTTTCTGCTTAGTAGCTTATAAAACACAGTATAGTCCAGGCAGGAGGTCCTAGGTACCTTTAATGCATGAAAACATCTGAAAAGGAGAGGACTAAAAACCATTTTAGTTAGCTAGACAAGTCCAAACTATAGGCCTTCCTCATGTCAATCAATGACAAATGCTCCCAGCTCCATGATATTTTACGGAAATAAAGGAAGATGCAGGAGATGTTTATGAATCACGATGAAAATAACACTAATGAAGGTAAAGCAAACATTTAATATAAATTTGTCCATAGAGAAAAAATAAATTCATCCTTAAAACTTACTTACTAAGTCTACAGTAGTTAAAAAATTAATTCCCCCAGCACCTGAAAATGAGTACTTAAAAATATTGTCAGCTATTTTTACAGGCAGAAACAGCAGCTCTCAATAGAAGAGCGGTAATTACTCCCAGAGTGAATCTGGCAAACTTTGCCTTTTATCTTGGCTGCATGAAGGACTACTGCAGGTCTTTGGGAGTGCCCTTGCACACTAGTGGTTCAGGAGCTTCTGCTCAGAGCAGAACAAAGTATCTGCAAGGCTCATGAGCTGCTCCATTTCTCCAGCAAGGAGTGCTGAGTGTGAAAACTGAATCAGGGCCCTCAACCTTCAAAATAAGAAAGAAACCAGTACAAACCGTGGAAGGAAATGTGTCTTAAATTTGGTCTGGAACATCCTGGCTAATATAACCAGCAGCAGTACTAATAAAACACTGGTAGCAGTAAATGCCACTATTTTCCATGTAGTCAGGAGGGTCTCCTGTGTATTTGGCCAGGTTTGTTCTGCAACAGAAAGACAATACAAGAGTTGTGCTTGTATATTCCCATTGTTATTTTATATTCAACACTACTCAGAAGTGCACAGTTTTTATATGCAACTTGTAAAAACATACATAAACCCTTTGCCATGTACCAAAAGCAGTCTTAACATAAAGCTGTCACAGAGGCTGGATCTTGCTTTTTCCCCTTGACTGGTCTTTTATACATGCAATCATGCCTTAGCTTGCATACATATAAAATATCCAGATATTAAAAAATACATTTGAAGAGGTAAAGATCAAAAATGGTTTAGAACCATTAGAATCTTGGGAATGCATTATATTTAGCCTTTTTGAAAATCTGAGACTCTTGAAAAGGAGTTCGAAAATAGCAGCATCTTAAAATCAATGCTCATCACTTAACCATGAAACAGACAAAGTTCACCAGGCATTGCCAACCTACAAATTTGCTCTGAAATAAGGGACTGTAAGAAGACAGGGCTGTTAGCATAGGACAGTCCTTTACCTGTTTTGACACAGTACACTTGGTAGGAGGGGAACCACTCTCCATACTGGCAGGTGATGTACTTGTAGTCATTGGTGAGGGTGTAACCTGGGTCACAGTAGAACTCCACCACTGTCCCATGGTTGTAGCGCTCACAAGGCCGCGGGTGGCAGATGTAGTCTCCATGACTCACCATTGGAGGTAGTGGACAAACTTGGGCAAACAAACAAAGGGAAAAGGAGAAAGACATTAATGCCAGCAACCCACCACTGGGCAGCTTCAGAGTGTCAAAATGCAGCAGGCACATTTCAGACTCCCTCTCGGCTCCCTGCAGTTCTGGGTACATCTCAGTGGCACCAGGCAACTGCCTAGGCAGGCCAAGTGGCCATCCACACCAGTGTAGGGATGCACATGCCAGGGAGTCACTGAGGTGGGATCTGGAAAGCTTCCAACCTGCTGTGGGAAGAGGAAGGTGAGAGGAAGACAAAAGGGGATGCATTCCCATCAGGTGGCTGTGTGGGGATGGAGCAGTGCAGTCAAAATAAGGAGAATCATGCTCTTCATGAAGCATTTATAATTCAGCTGTAACATGCTATTTTTTGTTTCATTAACATAATTAAATGGTTATATGCATTAATTAAATTCCTTTAAAAATAAGTTTGCCATCAGCAGTGCTGTAAGAGATGCAAAGCACCTAGTGTTGCTTAAGCATGTGCAGTCTGTATCACTGTAATTTTATTAAGTTGAGCTTAAAGCCTACTGGTGGTATTTGAGTTTTGTTATTTCTGAACAGCCTGACTGATCTCAGTGGGACCATTGGTGGAGTGAGGTCTTAAACATAGTAGAGGCTGAGCCTGTGTTAATTAAGTAGACTGGTTTACTTAGGGTGAGGTAAATAAGAGAGAATTGCAATATAAACATGTGGGACTTTTCCTGTAGGCCCTGGAATGATAGCCCAGGCAGATGAACTCCAGGGAGAACTGAGGAAGCACTCTGGAAAAGAGCAGTGGCGAAAGCAGATCACAAGAAGTATTTTTACAAGACAGGAAACTTTTCCATGTGTTTTCCAAGTGTTGGTTGATTACTGCTTTCTTAAGTGCTTCTAGCATAGGGCAAAAAAAATCCTACAAAGTATAATGATATTTCAAATGACTGCATACTGACTCAAAAGAGCTTTAGTTACTGGATGACTACTTTTATTTCCCTTCAGAGGCAGTTCCTGGCTGACTCAGTGCCCCATCTACAGGCCCTTCCCTTCACTTCATGCCTCTCCCATGCAGGCAAGACCTGCTGCACTGATTTAAATAATGAAAATGACATCTCTTGGAAGAACAATCTTTCCAGAAATTACAATTCACAGGGAGAAGCAGGTGGAATCTTGTTACATGAATAATGCATTTCATAAAAAAATACACAAGATATTAAATGAATCTTCAAGAGAGGCTGATTACAATGTGCAGTAATGTCTATTCCCCATCCTCTGGAGACATGGTTTTGTTTGCATTTTCACTGGCAAGGCTTAATGATAACTTGAAATCAGAGTAAGTAATTCACATAAAAATTCACATCCTCAATGCTCTGCACACTTTCCAAAGTCTCTCGGCCCACAAGAAAGAGGAATATTTTACTGGAAAAGTCAACTCAAGATTGAAAACAATTTTCTTAAGATTAGGGTGAGGTTGTCAGACTGAAATAGCAAGAAAGCACCTATTAGTAATTCTTGTATATAAAAAGAAAACGATCAGTGAAAGCCATGATCCTGGCTTACCATAGGGAAACCTGGTATATTTTTATTACCTATGCTTACAGCATGAGAAAAAAGGAAGAGAAAAATTTAAACTCCTCTGCAACTGAATTTTGCCAAGCTCTGGCAGTGTGCAAGAGGTGTGTAGATGCTCACAACCTTTCTAGCAATGAGCAAGTAGAGCACACCTTATCACAAAGAGCAACACTCAGAAAAACTAATTTTCCACTCCAGCAATGTAGCTGCTACATCACTCCTAACCTCTTAATGTCATTGAGAGCAAAAGCAACCTGCTAAATAGAAAAATCCCTCAAAGCTGGCATCCCAGCAATGTGGGTCAGCTTAGGAATGACATATTTCCAGGCAGATTTAAAGCTATACACTCTGGGGACAATCCAGATATGGAGCTGTCAGTCTGTTTACAAACGGAGATGTATTTTATAACACCCAAAAATGAGAGTATCACTCTGTGTAGGACATGTCCCCAGTACCAAAAGGGGTGGTACTCCTTCCAGGGACACATCCATATTTCAAGGGAAATGCTTGTGTATTGGTGCTGCTTGGAAATTCTTGCAAACAATTTTTTAATGCCTTGCCAAGTATTAGTCATGACTTAGTGGAGGTTTACAGAGTCATACCTGATAACAGCTCCTGCATGAAACACTGGGAACCAACAGATGCAATGGACCAGGTTTGAAACTGAGAGCTTTTAGCTCAGCTGAAACAGTGCTTCATTCTTATGTCAGCTGGACTGCAGGAGTCAGGGATTCTAACTCACTTGGAGTGTCACTCACCACCTCTCATGAACTTTATGTTCAACCAGATTCAGGATCCCTTTAATATTTCCGTGGGCAAACTGGCCCCCATGTACAGTCTGTAGCACTCAGGTTCAAAGCCTCTTTTCACAAATCAAGTCAAAGGTACATTGTGGTAATCACATATACTCTGAACAGAGAGAGACATAGGTCTCCCAGGATTTTCCTGGGAGGCTGTGGGAAAGCTCAGAGACAGAATTACAACAATTATTATCTCAATCTCTGCCCCTGGCAGGCAATCTCTGTTTGTCAAAGATCAGTACAAGAAGAAGTTGATCCTTCTTGACCAATAGGTGAAAGAAGATTCCTAAAGGCCAATCAGATCTTAGATCCACTATTGTTTCTGTAACAACTGTGAATCTCTAATAATAAAGTGCTTTTCATACCTTCTGATGACAGAGTCTCTGTAACACCTTTGTCTGTCCCTGATACCCCTCTGGAGATAGTACATCACAAAAATCCCTCAATGAACTCGCTTTGAGCTCTGGGCAGTTAGTCGCACACTTAGTCCTTTTCTCCACTCACTTCATTCCCATGGTCATCCTGATCCACGATCCTTTAAAGCCAGTGGAAGGACAGCCAGCAAGTGGCCTTGGTTTTGATCATAGAAAAGAAATATTAAGAAAGGCTAGAGGGCTGCTGAACTCTCTTGGCTCTCTTGGGCAGAAAATTCTTAGTGCAGAGCCGGTTATATTACAGGGTCTGAACCCTCATTTATGCCATATATCAGTGTATGACAGCGGTTATATGGATTAAAGGAATGTGTCAGATCAAATATGGAAGGAAACTCTGGTTACCTAAGGCCACTGAAGTTTTTTATGAAAGATAAATTCTAGCATTCCCAGTGATGAACCCTCATTGTTATTGAAAATTACAGGCCATGGATTTCAGGCAACTGCATCAAACTTACAGAATTAAAATAGTCATAAACTGATTACAATAAAAGCATATTTGACAAGTACATTTTCATTGGCAAAGCCAATAGTAGTATGCACAATAATCATAGAAACAAGGGAATTCTACTTCAGAAAGTTCTCACAGATCAAAAAAAGCCCTAAATGCTGCTCTTAAATGTGATACTAAATCTTTACTGTCAATAGCTTTCAGTATCTTCATTTTATAAGGCATTGGAGACTGTAATACTCTAACTACAGCATCCAGCATGGATAATCCAGCAGTATTTTCTGAAGACCAGCATTAAAAGACCACATGCCTGTGTACTTAACTTTGGAGCTTGGCAGAGGGATAGACATAATTTAAACAGTGTCTGCTGGTGGTCCTGCAGCAGGTGATCCTGGGTCTCTGTATCTGTCTTTGTACAGCAACTGGCCACAGATTGTAAGGGGATTTACAGGAACTTTATAGCTTGGCATTCGCAGCTGAAAAGTTGAATCATTTGTCAAAAAGAAAGAGCAATTGTGTTTATATGGCAAACAAATCCCATGCTGGATGCTCAAGAGTCCTGTTATTCAAGAAGTTGAAAGGAAGAATTCCCGATTTGATTTGGTGGAGTTCCCTGCCTGCTCCTAAGAACTGCTGGAGCTGAGGGCTCTCCTCTGAGATCAGCTTTCTGTTCTGGCTGATTTTAATGAAGGACTAGCACTACCAAGAAGAGCTTAAAACCTGGGGAGCTGAGCCTTGTGTTTCCAGTGTGGCACTGTGGCCTGGAGCAAAGGCAAGGGCTGGTCTGCCCCTGACACAGTGTCCTCTCCATCACAGCCTCCACAGAGCCACGTCCCTTGGAGCAGGGGCAGGGGAGGGTGGCACAGGCTCCATTCCTCATTAACTGAAGAATTAATGAGCTTCATCCAGTGATTTTTTTCCTACCTATTATGGTCAAGAAGCTTTTTAAACTCTGCCCGGAGGATGCTGCAGTAATTCTGCAATGTTGACACTGGAACTGGAGGAGGGAAGATTTTTTGGCATTAGCATATCCTCAATTAACATCAATGGCACAGAACAAAGACATTGCATGACTTTTTAAAAGCCACTGGTAGAGAGATAACAGTGGAGTCACAGATATTTACACTGCTCAAAAACCATTTTTTAGTCAATGTTCAAAGCCTAGTGGTTTTAGTCTGTGGTCCAAGTAGACAGGCGGTAAATCACTCTGGTTTTGCCCAGCATTTTTTATATAAGCCAAAAACTAAAAGCAAAAATGTCTTGAAGTACAGGACACTTACTTATTAAAAAAATAGGGAGTAGAAACAACCAAGCTTATTTTCCACCTGTGATTATTGTCTCAAGCTATTAGTTCACCGTTTATGTAGGACATTAATTTCTTGGTTAGCTGGGTTAGCAGAAAGCCCCAGTGTAAGGCCAGCCATTTCTGTTTGATACAGGGATGGAGAGGATTAGAGACATTTGCACCTTGTAAAGAATAACACTTCTTCCGAACACATCGTGAAAGCCTGCTCATTATGCAAAGAATGAGAACAGATTAAGACGAAACATCCAGATGAGAAGACTGAAAAACCTGCCGGTTCCACTGTGCAGGAAAATTCTGGTGTCTCTCTCTCTCAGAGAATCATCTGAGAGGGGGAGACACTCTCTGCTTTGCTCACAAACTGGAAGAGAACAAGAGCTTCTCCTGACTCTCACTTGTCATTTTTGTATACATCAGGACACTAATTATCACCAGGAATCTGGACACC